AGTGTTCTCCACATAGTAAATTACAGTGTATGCATGTATGTTTATTTTCGATCAGTGCATAGGCGTCTAAATGACAGTGCTACCGTCCGGACAGTCCACGAGTCGGTTGGACTGCTACACCTGTTGACCTTTTTTTTTTTTTTCTGCTTCTACGATTCACGATACATTCGCAATCGTGTATGCCACTAATGTCAAATGGGACTATTTCGTACGGGTAACTACACCACCACCGCATTTTTTATTAATTTTTTTTTTTCACACAACTGAATTTTGATCTTTTAAATTGAAATACCTGATTAAAGGGTGGCCGAAATTTTTCTCCGCCCCGGGCGGCTAACAGCCACGGTACACCACTGCGCATCTGATCTCGTCTATCAAAAAATTGGCGCATGGTATGCAAAAGGTTGGCCACCCCTGGGGTAGATCAACAGAAAAGAATGGTCATTTTTATAAGTAAAACAAGAAATTTTGGATTTTGTTTATTATTATTTTCTTATTTTGTTGTCCAGATGTCCAGTTAGCAATAACCCAGTTGACAGTTTCCCACCTCATTCTGGGTCTGGTCAAACCCATGATAGGCTTTGATTAAAAAGTTCTCTTAGTATAAAGAGAAAAAATATCCAGTGTTGTCAATTCAGTACTTTTGACACTAAATCTGGTGTTTTGGACTAGTTTTTTTAGTGTCCTGTTTGTTAAAATTTTACTGTCTGAACTTTTATATAATTTTTATTATTTATATTTATAGTGCTATTATGTGCTATTACTCTATATTCTACATTTTTATACTAATAATCTTTCTAGTAGAAAAAGCCAGCATTAAAACCTATTATTGTGATAAACAGAATGAAGATTGAATAAATGCTTAAAAGTGCCACAAGTTTTGTCAACAATATTTCTACAAATTTTTTTATTTCTTATCCTTTGCAATCTAAAATCAGCCTTTCTTATATATCAAGTCAGCTTCATATATAATCTAAAGTTAGCAAGTTTGATATTGTATTAGCTTGTGTTGTGAAAGATAATATTTGCATTAGCCTACATTATTTTATATTAGATTACACTTTTCAATAAATTTTAAATTTTTGTTTTTTGACAAAAACAAAGGTACTTCTGCTTACAGATTTTGAGACACTGAATTTGAAAACAACAATCAAAAGTCTGGATTGGCTTGTTTAGAAGATAAACTGTATATTACTCTTTTACAGCTATCTACAGTACTTGGCTGAACCATCATAGGGTCTATTTTTACATGTTTTACAACCACATTTTCTTTTATCCCACATACTTCCAGCACTTATTGTTTATTTCTCACATAGTCTCTTCTTGTTATATTATGCGCTCCTCTCTAATACCTTATCTCACATGCAGTAATGTGACTCTTGTGACTCATTGGCCATATCCAAGTTTCACTACTATACATGAGCATAAGAACCATGACACTTCCACACACAACCATTCGAGCCTCTAGAAATTCTTTTATCCCATACAAATTTATTCATTGCACCCACCACATGTACTCTAGCATCCACTCTTCTGGTGATTGCACTGTCTATCTTTTGATTCCTATCATACTTCCCAAATATACAAACTCAATCATTTGTTTCAGTTTTTCACCATCCAGCTGAATCATGCAATTCTTTTGTTCACCTTTGCATTCAAACACAATCAATTTAGTTTTACTCACATTCACTCAGTATATATTCTCACATGCCTCTTCAAGATTAGATATAAGTGTCTGAAGCTCTTCGTTGCTCTCTGCTAATAGCACAATGTTATCTGCATACAACAAATGGCAAATTTGTTCATGCCCAAGTTTTACTCCACACTCAATTACTTGGACTCTTAATCTTATTACTATAGCTAACATTAAGATTAAAATGCTGGCTATAAAATAACTTTTTTACTTAAATTCCTATAAAAATTTCAGTTAAAGTGATGGATAATATTCTACTTTAAAAATACATGGAAGAAACTAAAACATTTCCATATCTCCATCATGTCCAATCACCAAGAACAGTCTTCCTTAACAGAGATGATTTTTATTAGAGGCTATGCCTGTGTAAAAATATACAAAACTGTTTTAAAATATCCACTAGTGATAAGCCAAAAATGAAAAATACACAGTTTCAATTAAAATGGTTGACAGTATTTGACATTTAAAATACATAGAAGAAACTAAAACGTCTTTGTAAAATATAGTTTTTAATAAAATGTTGTCTCTGTGAAGGAAAACTGTTCCTAGTGATTAGATATATGATGTTTTAGTTTCTTCCGTGTGTTTTTAACTTTTTGGGCTGCAATTTGAAAAAATTGTAGACCTATAAATTCCTACCGTTGTCTGTCTGTCTGTCTGTCTTTCCTTAATTTTGAGATTGAAGGTAGATAAATGAAATCCGAGATCAGATACAGACCCTCGGCAGGAGGCCCCAATTGACTATATATGAACTTTTGGTTTGCACTGGAAGTCACATTATTTTAATTCAAAACTTTTCCTTTGAAAGCAGTTAATAGATGATTGGCACAACTCTATTGTTAAAGGAAAAGTATGATATACAGGGGCAAACCACTAATTTGATATGGAAAGCATTTCATGTTGCAGCCTGGCATTGAGACAATGTTACTACAGTGGGTGATCGGTTAACGAACATAATTTGTTCCAAGACTTTGTTTGCTACTTGAATTGTTCATTAAGCAATTATCAATTTACCATAGGTTTTTATGGGAATTTGATTAATTCGTTCTGGAAACTCCAAAAAATGAAAAATATATACTTTCTTACTACATTTATTTATATGTAATAATAAAAATACAAATATACACAGTCTTGCATTTTTATCAGTCATGTTTTTTCTGTTTATGGAGGTTAAAGAATCTGTCTAATGTCAATTGCTTTTCTCTCTTCTTCGGGATTTTTCAGAAGTAATTAATAGCATTGTAAGCATTGTAATTGTAGAAATCCCCAAGCCTATTAACCTCAACCTGGTTTGGATGTTTTTCTAAAACCATTGTTCTGATCGAGTTTCTTGGCGTTCTTCTGTCGTCAGATCAGTTTCAGGTTCCATTATGAGCTCTTCAATGTTCTTTATTTCTCAGATGTGATTTTTGTTACATCCTTAAGATGCTTGCGTCTTCTTGATTATACAGTATCTTTCTTAGATAAGATTGAACTGCGGCTTACTGTAGACCTGTTCAAGCCATACTGCCCAGCAACATCATATATCTTCTGCCCACTCTCTCTACCTTTGTTATTATACTCTCATCATTCAAAAATAAAAACTGACGCAAAACTTAATGAGTGCCCACCCGAAAGTCTCACAAGTACTATAAAAAAAATTGTTTCTGTCAGAAAAATAAAAGGCTGGAATTACAAGGGAGAGTTTGAAAGTTTGGAGAATACTACCTGATCAATATATACTGGGTTGAGTGTCCATGTCCATGTCTCCCGCGCTCTGAAAAGTTTTGAATTGTTGCCTGAAGACCAGGGAAGACCAATCAGTATTCATTATTTTATGTCACTTCTTCTTGTGTTTGTTCTGTGAGGTGTTCGTTATCCAAACATGTGTTGTCTGAACATAAAAATCTTTTGTGAAAGTGTGTGTTATCCAATTTGTTCGTAGTCCAAACTGTTAGTTAACTGATCACCCACTGTATAAATAATTGCTTGCCTGTTTATTCCTATAAAAACATTTGATTTGTTTTGTTACTATTATTAGGAAGATTTTTTTAAATTGCTGTATAGTTGATATTTTTTATTTAGTTCCTCAGCAGATAAACTGAACCTACATTCCAGATATTATCTTATTTATAATACTTTATCTTATTGATAAAGAGACATATTTGTCTCTTTATCAATAAGATAATATCAAATTATTAACAGTTTATATTTAAGAAAATGATAAATTTTTCCGACAATTTTTTTTTTTCACAATTTTAAAATTAATAAATATGTTCAAATGCAATGCATTCATTATTTATCTTTAACCCTCAAAACAAAATTCAAAGTGATAACAGTATCAGCCTTCTATTGTAGATTAGTTTATTTTAACATTTTTAAAGCGAAAGAAGTAAAGACACATCAAATAAATGGCATATTTTAAATTAAAAGTGAAAAAATACTAAAATCAGAGCCACAGTGAACATCATGTTTTCAATTTTATTAAATGACATTTCCATAATTTATTTTTATAATACAAAAACAATCTTTGTACAATTTTACTTTTTTCACTTAGTGAAGTTTTTCATCTAAGAAATATTTCCAATATTTGTATTAGTGATCCCTAGCAATGAAGCATGTATAAATTTCTTTCATGTTAAAAAAAATTCTACCACTTTTACTGTTAATATCATTAAAAAATTACAGAAATTTCATATAAGACAAGCAGTTATTTATTGTGACATTGTCATAATACTGGACTGCAATTTTTAATGATATTTTTAATTTAATTTAAAATATATGCTCTCCATTTCAAATTATACTTGCCCCTCTATATATTATACTTTCCTTTAACAATAGAGTTGTACTGGTCATCTATCTAACATCTTTTGGTGAGGGAAATTTTTGAATTGAAATAATGTGACTTCCCGTTTACATTGGAAGTTTGTATAAAGTTCATCAGGGCTCCTGTCTCTAAGGTTTCCATATCTGGTCTCATCTTTCATCTAACTAACTCCATTCTCAAAATTAAGGAAAGACAGATGGACGGATAACAGTGGGAATGAGGAAATATACTGTATAGGTCTACAATTTTTTCAAATTGCAACCCAATAACTCTCTTTATTGAATATTACATTTTAGGAACTATGCTTGGAATGATGACAATTATTGATCTGTTTTAGATAACAGAACCATTTAAATTTTACTTGGATGGAAAGATTTCCTAAAATTCTAAATACTATATGTGTAATATGACAATTGAATAGAATCAGATTTTTTTTTTAATATTTCCTGTAGAATAGGAATACAGTAGAGCATCGATTTTTCGAAAGTCAATCATCCGAAACGTCAATCATCCGAAAGAATTCCAGTCGGCAAATTTAAATTTTTGCCAGTGCTGTGGCGCTTCAATCTTTGGCTATGTCTTGGGCTACTCAAATATTTTACGTTTTTGATACTAAATTAACATCTGAAGTATAATTTTTTATTATTTTTATATTTTTCAATATATTTATTTTGTTTGTACAAAATAAAAAAATAATTTTTAACGATACAATAGTCTTTGTTAGGCTTAACATCGACGAAAATTCAACGCGAAGCGACACGCAACAGAGAAAAATTTCGACATCGGATACGTTGAACTATTTTTTCATACGTAAATCAGTTATCCGGACAACCCCAGTCCCCAATTGATTCGGAAAATCGACGCTCTACTGTATTTGCGAGGGAAAACCTTCTGACTATTTGAACCTAGTGTAGATACTTTGCTGTAGTTGTGGCACCTTTGAAGTGAATGTGTCTGTCTTCCTGCAGTTGTTTTTTAGTTCTGTCCACTTACTTGAGATCAGATTTTAAGCAGTCTATTTATCTTGTTTGTGGATGTTCTCTTAGTCTACTTTTTGTGTTCTGCACATACAGGACTTGTCTGGTGATCCATATTTGGAAACTTGTTGGAGTGATGATGAGATACTGTCTTTACACTATACTTTTATTCTAATATATATCTATAGCTAAAAAATGATTACACTTGTCTACATATTGAGAGATACACACACTTCTGAAACTTATTCTTCTGTTTCATTGCTCCTTTGTGATTAAGTCTTATTGATTGATGCTATTTTACAATCAATTAACATTATTATTATATGTATACACTTATTTATTTTCTTTTCTCTAATAGGACTCCAAAGTATGCCTGAGCAATCTGAGTCTTGAAATTTTAAAGTTAGTCACTATATAGTGCTTCTTATAAAATACTCTACTGTAATAAAATGTATTTTAATGAAGTGAAAAGAAATATAAGATTTATTTGTATATGAGAACACAACACATGGGTGATCTGCCAAAGTGGGGATGCCTCTCAGGAAGACTTTCTAAGGGAAACCTGGCCCCTATTTAGGTGTTAAAATTATGAAGAAACTCTGGAAAATTCCATGTGGCCAGCCCATCGACAAGGTGCAAACCCACAACCAATCCTACCAGTGTTCACTGGCTTTATCCACTTGGCCACTGATTGGCTCTTAAAAGAAATATAAAAAACATATTTTATATGTTTTGACTCTGTTAAAATACTTTCTTTTAGAATATATGATGCTATACTCTATCTTGTTTTTATGATTAAGATTGACAAAATCTGTTATTTGAAAGTAACAACTGTTGATTATATTTTGTATTGAAAGTGATTTTTGTTTTTATTTTTGATATTTTTTTATGGTTTTCACTTCTCACATTTTTTTTAAAATTGAAGCTCTAATATGTTTCTATAGTTTGCAAGAAAAAAATATGCTGTTTTTTCTATCATTTCTCACATTCCAATATGTATCAACATGCATCATAATATAATTATATAAATTTAATGAAGACAATGAAAAATATTGCATAAAAAGAAGAAATTAATGACTTTTTTTTTACAGATCATATGAAAGGACTTGATACACCTCAGTTTCATGAAAGATTGAAGAAAAGGTAAATTATTTAGCTAATTTAACTTTTGTTCATTGTAATAAACTGTATATTAATTGTATTTAAAGTTTTCATTCACAATTAAGTTTAGGATTTTCAAATATGTTATTATTAGGACTTTGCACAACTTTGTCATATCATGATAGGATTGAGGTGGAGCCAGAAAGACATAATTGATTCCTGCACCTGTTAGGCATAGAAGAGGCAATCCTTGTACCTGACAGACCAGACAGATGAACTTTGCACTTGCCACCACAAAAGAAATGACCCTCATACCTACTGAGCATGGGTGACATGATCCTTGCACTGGCTGGTTATGGAGAGGTGAGATCTTTGCACTTGCCAACATGGAGAGGTGATCCAAGAATAAAGCAATTATGATTGATTTCTTTGTTTTTCGTTTTTGTTCATTTTTCACACCTATTTTCCATTAGGCACACTATAACCATCATCGGTTACTATGGTGCCAACTGGGGATGCATCAAGTACCGTTGTCTTGTAAACTCCCACATAAGGCATTTGTCTGGCCATCGTATACCCTGACAAGACATGTATATAAACAAACAATGCTACAAAAACTTGATACATTATGCTAAATAAAGCCAAACACTGCTGTATGCTATCAGGCTATATAATGGCTATATATTAATAATAAATTACCAAACAATTTGACCCTAGAGGGAAGCAATGGTTATAGTGTAATGTTATATTTACTGGAAGACGAGATCAGACTAGAGGTCCAGGTAGCATCATTAGGAACATGCAGTGCTGTTTGATTCCTAGGCCTAAATTCCATTACATGTGCTCAGTTGCATCAGAGAGCAAGGATATTGTTGCCTTAATACCTCTGTATATTGGAAACAGTCACGGACTCTTATTTTTTACATTTAAAAGGACCCTCATTACATTTTTGGATTTCTCATCGCAATTAATGAAAAATAGCAAAGTCAATTCTATAGCCCATAGTAGGCGTACTAGTGACTGTGGAAAATTACACAAGTTGTGTGATATCACTTTATCGTGTGCAGTTGTGTGATATTTCTTTGTCACATGCACTTGTGCTATGACCTTATATTATGAAACAGATGTCAAGGACCTCCATTTTTTATTACATTTTTGGATTCTTTGTCACAATTAGTGGAAGATGGTAAAGTTTATTCGATCAAATGGATTTTGAAAATGAACACAATTCTCTAAGCCACGTAGAAAAGGCTTCACTAAAGCTCCACCTCAATTAAATGTAACTGTTGCTAATTTTTATATTGTATCTGCATTTAAAAAAAATTTTAATTTATATTGTATTTATTTTAATTTGGTTTCTATTTTTATTTGATTTAATTATTCTAAAGAAAATTCCATTGCATATTTTAAAAAATAATATAGTTAAAATGCCATCAGTCTACAATTTGACTGTCAGAAAAATTTTTTAAAGTTTGAAATTATATAATAACATTTATAAAATTAAACTTAACTGTGTACATAAGATATAAATTTGATTAAAAGTATTAAAAAAGGTTAATACAGTGTATCTGAAAAATTACTGTGTAATGAGAAATTTATGATGACCTTAATTAAAGTAGTATGTGTGGCATTACACACAAGATCTGTAATTTGTATGTTTTACATCTCCATAATTGATGTTTTATTTTTATTATAACAACTTATTAGAAAAAAAGATAAATAAATATAGTTTGATATTAATGTTACTATATAGAAGAGGTTGAAATAAAATTTTTCTCTAGTAAGATGTTTAAAAATTATAAGTAAAAAGTATATATACACTGGGTGATTCTAAATATATATGAAAATTTTCAGGGACTGATTTTCAAGTAATTTCAACCATAAAAATGCATACAAACATATGTTAAAAACAATATAGTTTTAAAGTTACAGGATGTTTAATGTGTGGTTCTATTGAAAATGTTGACAAATTACAGAATTGCATTGCCACTTCCTATGAAATAGTTTCACACATTTATGGTATTTGTGAATGTATGCAACAATCAATGCAGTAGAGCAGTGTTTTTCAACCTGTGGGTTGCAACCCCCAGGTGGGTCGCAAAGCCATACACGGGGGGTCGCGGGTAAAAGAAAAAGACAAGTGTGTGTAGGTCCTACACTACAATAGAAAAAACTACAATTTCAGTGAGAAAGCTGTGCCTGTTTATTTTACAGTACAATTAGTTTTTTGATCGATATTTAAATCTCAACAGAAAGAAAATTAAATATGTAGTATTTAAAATCACTGACATAGTTTTAATATGCTGTGGGGGGGTCGCCAGAATTTTTTAACTTGTAAAGAGGTCGTGTATTCAAGAAGGTTGAAAAACACTGCAGTAGAGGATAGAATCATGTATTATGGTTGGTAATTGTCATTTTCAAGTTATGACAACTATGCCATTTTGAACATATTTTTGTATACATGTTTATGGTTGAAATTATTTAAAGAATAAGATCTTGAAATTTTTTGTATACGCTTAGAATTACCCTGTTTACAGCTTTAAATTATTTGGAGTTATAAACTTTAAAGAATCTTAAATCTTAAACTTTGGTGAAGTAAAAACATTGCTAATTTTTTTAAATAACAAAAATAAAAATAAAAATCCTTTGAAGATAGAAATTTATTTTAAGAATTTTTGAAATTTGAAAAACAATTTATTATTATTCTCTGTGTCTAGTCTTCATAATATGTTTAGTAATATATTACAATTTTTTTTAGTAGAATTTTATTCTTCTACAAAGAGAATTGGGTTAATATTGTTTCTAATATGCTAAATATGTGTATTTTCAGTGATGAAGTGAAAATTTACATGTCTGAAGTATCAAAAGCTCTTCTTTTGAATGATCATAAGTACAAGCATCTAGCACCATATATAGTAAGTTAATCTGTTTTTATTGAAATAATAACATATACAGGAGGGTGCAAAAGTACATATACAGTTGAGAATCTGAGAAATACAAATGTTTGGTGTTCATTATTATTATTTTTATTACCTTTTATTATTTTGTATTCCCTATTTGTGATTTAATTTGTACATAAAAATAAATGTTTTTTTCTTCCTATTTTCTCCATGTATGTTTTTTCCATAATAACAACTGTGTACTTTTGCATCCCCCTGTATATCTGAAATACACTTAGCCAAAAATACCTATTGTGATGATAGGTGCGAAATGAGTTACAAAGATACATTATAAGATTAATATCTTTATTTCGCATACAATAAATCGATTCTTTGGAATGCCAGCTCCTCTCAGTCCCAATACACAAGTATATAACCTGAGCTGTACAAATCTTGATATAACAGGTTGTTATTGACTCTATTAACATAACACTACAAATTACCAAATACAATATATTTACAACAAATATACAACAAACTAAAACTAGGTGCTTACACTAACAGAATCTAAGTAAGAAGGAAGTAAGTAGACAAACAGTAAATAGAGTAAGGATAGAGGAAAGTGGGTATCCAGTTATCAATGGTTAACTTGGAGTGGTGAATTTCCAGAGCTTTTCTTCCTTGGGTCGATGGATGATCCTTATTCTCATTAAATTTTTTTGAATGATGGTCTTGGTGTTAAAAAGATCCCTTTTGACTGAAATTTCCAATATTCTCAGGTCTTCTTCCGTCTCTATACGACAGTGGTTCCCAAACTTATTATGCCCATGGACCCCTTCTCATAGCAAAAACCTGACCGTGAAACCCAAGTGAAATAACTCTATACAACTACATTATAGCAAAATTTCAAATTTAACTTTGATGTCTAAGATGGTGAATGGTGATGTAAAAATAAAATATAAACAAAACATTTTTATATTTAAAGTAGTATTTATTCAAATTATAAATTTTGTTTTAAAATACAAAAGCACATTGTTTGTTAATGAGATGAGTGAATCTGATGGGATGATATGAGATTATTTATGTTTGGCTCAATGTTTGTGAGTAACATTAGTAAGTCTCTGCTAGTACTAATTTGCAGTCAATTTTTTTTTTTTCGTGATGAGATTTATAACTGTTCTAATCCACATTCTACTAAATAGGAAGATGGGAAAGCAATCAACAGCTTCTGTACAGTGGCCCATAATGCAGGATATAAAATTGGTATCTGTTTTTATAACCAGAATTTGTGGTATCCTTGTTCAAACCTTGGTTTTAGCTCCTCATTTGTGGATAATTCAATAAGTTCCTCCTGTATTACTATGGCTTCATCTGAGTTTGTGGGTCTACTTGCAGAAGGGTCCAACACCCAAACAGGATGACCAAGTGAAGAATAGCCTCAAATCTTTGGCTGAGGTCAGAATGAAGAGCCGTTAAGTGTTGACAATAAACAAGCAAATTATCATCTCATTTTTGCAATTTTGAAAGATTTGGAAACTGAGAGCATTCTCCTCTCCCCAAGTTTTGTTTGTATAAAAAAAGTTTTGCAACAAATGCAGATATTATACTTTTAGTTTTGATAAAATTTAATTGATCACCTTGTAACTTCAAATTGATTTTGTTAAATTTGGCAAATAAGTCAGTCATATATGCTATGTCATTTTTTGAATTAATTAAATTGAGCCACAAATCATTGTCTTTGCTATCCAGGAATTCCAACACTGAATGAGTGCATAAAATCGATCCAAATATGCACCTTTAGATAACCAACGAACTTCCGTGTTAAGTAGTAAACGATCATAATCTTCATCATTTTCTAAACAAAGTTGAGCAAAATAATCTCTCATTTAAGGCATTCCTTTTGATTCTATTAACTGCCCGAATGACATAGTCTAGTGAGCCATGCAAGAATTCACTAAGGTTTTGGTGACTAAATGATGTTGGTGAATGACACAATGTACAGAAAATATATTCGGTTTAGCTTGTTTCAAGTATGCCAGAAAGCCTCAGTGTCGTCCTACCATTGCCGGAGCACCGTCAGTATCAACAGAGAGGATATTATTCAAGGGTATATCTTTTGCATCGAAAAATGTTTTTAATTCATTAAATATTGTTTCACCTTTTGTATCAGTTTCCAAACATTTGGCAAATAATAATTCTTGGGAAATATTCTCATCTTTTTACAAATCTTACATAAGCTAAAAGTAATGCTTTGTTTTCTGGCAAAGTTGCCTCGTCAAGCTGTACAGAGAAATTTATTGTATGCACTTCACATCATGCACAAAACAGAATTAAATTGTTGATTAGGTGCACAACTCATCTAGTGTCATATTTTAGACAAGTTATTGTATGTAGCGGTGAGATTCCATTCATGTTCAAATCTGCATAGATAGGTGGCAGTGATCGGCTCGACTCTCATTGTGCGATGCTTGTCATTACTTGTATTTTGTATTTTATGTACCTATATACTTATATTTTACTCAGAATGTAAAAATGGCTACCAATTTATTTATTGCTATTTATTTTTAACTATCCTAATAATGAAAATGGGTCACAATTATTTTAGTTTATATTAAACTTTTTGTGGACTCCTTGACATTGTCCATGCACCCCCAAATTAATTTTTATTTGCCACAGACCCCTGAAGTGGTACCAAGGACCCCTGAGGATCCATGGGAACCACTGCTATACACTGCCTAAATGCAGTAGAGAGCACATTTTGTCGGTCCAATCCTATCGAAGTCCCCACCAAGAATGACCCTCGTTCTCCCAACTTAGCCCTCAGGGCATCATTCTTTTGTTCTCAGGATTAGTCATCACCACCCAAGGAGAAAGAGTTAAAGAAAGAACATTCTGGAAAGGATAGACAAAGAGACAAAGAAAGCTATACAAAATTATTATAAATATATATATACAACATGGCAGAATGCCACACTATTATATAATAATTCATAATTAATGAAGTAAATTAATTAAATAAATACATGGTCTTTGGAAAAGAATGCTATCATTTTAAATTATTGTAATTATGTTTAATTATCATCCGAGAACATTGTAAAGTACATTAAAACATTGGAAAACTATCAAAATTTTACATTTGCCCATTACAATTGCTCAATGTGTCACATGGCATATATCTAATAGTGATGTGCCGGATATCTACGGATACAGATATCCGGCACATCACTACGGAAAAAAAAGATCGGATATGGATATGGAAAAAAAAGATCCGTATCCGTATCCGTTACTTTTTAGCGAATCTTTAATGGATCTTTTATCTTAATGAATTGCATTACTTATATGAAATTTTAAAGATAGGTAGCAATAGCACATTCGTCATTTACTATCATAAAATATTTCCATATTACACTACTAAATTTTTTTGTCGACATTGTTTTTATTTTAATTTAACTCAACACTCTCCAAAAACACAAACGTAATCTATGCTATCTCTTGTCACACTAGCCACAAACCAGTGTTTCCCAACGTGGGGCCCACGCCCCACAGGGGGCAATTGGATTGCTAAGGAGGGCAATTCGAAAATGGACTTGTCCAGAGTTTAAGTTAACCATATAGCCGCTGTATATGTTAGGGAGACATGAGAATTTTAGAAAGGCTTAGGTGGGGCATAACACAAAAAAGGTTGGGAAACACTGCACTAAACTATTGTGGCGGTACGCTATATTTTTGTAAATATTGATTTTAGTTTAGTTTCATTTCTTCTTTCTACCCTTTGTTCTATTGTTCTATTTTCTTCTAGAACTTTCTTATCTATTTCCTGTCCCTTGGGTGGGATGAGCAATTCCTAGAAATTTGAGGAGCAAAGGTGTAAACAGGAGCCGGAGAAAAAAGAGAAGTGACGTAGCAGATCATTTGTAAACTGGACGGCAGAGTGTACGGACGAGGTGAGAATACTGGGAGTCGTATTTTCAATGACTGGATAGTTCGGAAATAAGTTCAGAAAAAAGATACTGTTTTAAGGTCGTATTGATGACTATGGAAGGAAAAATCCTAATTATTGAAGAAGAGAACTGGCCAGTTATAGGAGAAGGACGTGTGTTATCCCACCCAACAGTATGCATAAAGAAACAAGTTGAAAAAAGGGACAAAACACCAGATATCCCTATTTCCATCTTATCTACCATTTTTTCTGTCTTCTTAATTCTATCCCTTTTTCTGTTATTAGTGTTAATTTAGTATTTAAGGTTAGTTTAAGGTTCCGGATTATATTGTCGCAATCGTGATCTGTATTGTACACATGCTTTGGATACAGAGAACTATTATTATTGCTGTAATTTCGCATGCTACTGTTTGCACTGTGAAGTTGGAATCCACCGAAATAGAATCTGTATAAAGACGCGAAATAGCTTAATTGGAAAATTATATCAACTTTTGTTACTTTATCCTGTCTGCCTTTGTGGTGAATTCTAATTTATCACACTTTCACACTATAAAGACGCGAAATAGCTTAATTGGAAAATTATATCAACTTTTGTTACTTTATCCTGTCTGCCTTTGTGGTGAATTCTAATTTAGCGCACTTTTACACCATAAACAAAAACACGCACAGTGCAAGTCAAAACACGTCACGTTATTAATGCAAAGCGTCAACTATCGGTCCAAGGTCACACGCACCGGCACCGACTGAGTACGAAAGTTGAGATTGGTATCCGTATCTGCGGATCTAGACACTAATGATCCGTATCCACAAATATACATTTTTAACGATCTGGCACATCACTAATATCTAACCAATACTCAAATTCTTTCTACACTTCTAACAGCATATCCATTGTCATTTCTCCCAAAGCAGCCACAATTCTATATCTCCTTTAGCCCATGCAGATAACTCATGTTGCACATTGATGAGTGATTCTGACTCTGTAGGATAGATTTATACCTTCACAAAACAAAAATACACTCTCTGTTGCAGAGTCGCCATTTTTATTTATGGCACTTTCTAGAGGTAGTAGACAATAAAATGATTTGAATGAAGGTGGGAGATGAAACTTGGACAGTTACTCTATCTCAGTATACTGTACAGTACATCGCATATTTCTTGAATAATAATTAACATAATTACAATGATTTAAAATGATAGCATTTGTTTGGAAGACCCTGTATAATTAATCTCTTATTAAAGTTAATAAACATTAAGAATTTTTAAAACAGTAAAAAACTCTTATTTAAGCTTTAATTAGATTTAATAAAGATTATTATAGTAACAAAAGAACATGTACAATCCTTTCATTGCTCAACTAAGAGCAATGAAAGGATTGCTCTTAGTTGTTTTAAGAGCAATGAAAGGATTGCTCTTAATTTTTATTTAAGATATTTGAATTGAAATATTTTAGTTAGTTGAATATTCTTTTTTTATATTACTGAAAAAAACAGTAACATATTTTCTTAATCTTTTCTATTTTTATTTTTTAGGAAACTATTCCAGTTAAAAGTGCAATAACAATTTCTGTGCCAAATATGGTATGTATGAATGGTTTTAGAAATTTATAATTATAGTCATTAAATCATAATGCATTTATTTAATAAGTTCTTAACCAAAATTCTTAAGTAAAATCTTAACCAAATTTGGTTATGTATTGTCCTGAGTATATGATTTTGACTTTAAGGTAAAATATTTCAATTCAAATTTCAATTTTGGTGTTGTTGCTTTTTTAATGTGCATATTATGTATGTTTCCTAACAAAGTTTGGGTATAAAAGAAGTCACAAAATTTTGTTTGACTATGACTCTTGGTTTTGGGAGTATCTAAGAACAATGTTGGGAAAGACAGAATTTAACATTTCAGGCAACCTCGTGCAAATCAACGGTATTCTGCCATTGAGAATGTTTTGTAGAAAATTTAGTTTCTGGAGCATGTAAATGGAAGGGTATACAGAGCCATATCAGCAGTTTCACATTTCTAATCACAACTGTAATTGAAATAAAATTATTATATTTTGCTTCTTGACTCCAAAATTTATTAGAAAACATATGTAATATGCATATTAAAGAACATATGTGCCAAATTTTGCCCTAGTCTCTGAATTTTTGAATATATAAATATCTCTAAGCCCAATAGTTATATTCAAGCCAAACAATTGCCAGTATTTAATTATTAATAGTAGTGATAATGTAGCCCAATTTAATATGGCAATTGTTTGGCTTTGAATTTTGAAAATTTGTGATTTGTGGCAGTTCTGCAGAGAATTTGATTTTTTTAATTAATGTTTTTTTTTCCCAAAAATTGAAAAGACATACTCAAGACAGTCTATTTGTCAAATTAGGTTTAGGTTTGTTCAATAGTTCTTTCTACAGATGTAAAGTACTATATTATTTTTCCGACTTTCCAACGATTATCGACACTACTGTGTGCCGGAAATAGCCGTTCCCTAACGGGTACTTTATGCGGATTCGCGTTAGTGTGCCAGGCCTGGACTTTAAGCGTGCACCGAATTAAATAATGACAAAGTTTGTCAATAACAAAATCAAATATTTAATTAAACTTCTAGTAATAAACTATATACAGTATTTAGTAAAAATCAAACAATAATTTATTCAATGAAATTCAACAAGAATCAATCCGACAAACTCAAATCAATCTATTTCTAACTTAATTCTATTCCCCTTTGGAATTCGACAAAATCAAAGAATTAACTTATAAACAATAATTCTTATAAATTAAAGATCCTAATCGTCACCTCAATATACTAGGAACCTATTTCCTCAAACTCTCAAGACTTTCTATAATCGTCAATCCATAAATAGAATAACTTCAAAATCCTATCGGACACCTCTCTCGTTCACTGCTACGAAGCTCACCAAAGCTCGTTGCTATCAGGAATTCACCTCGTTCGTTTTCACTTGAGTTAGAGGCTTTATAGTGTGAGGTGACGTCACAATTCTGAATGAGCTCACTCTCCTCATTTACATACTTATCTGTAACATTAAATTTTTCTTGTTTATCTGGCAGATTATTTTCCGACAATACTTCGCTAACCTTTTACATTATTCTTTTTAACAATTATCGGGATGCTTTATTCTTTTAAGGTTTAGCGATTCCTAACTGGGTTGTGGGGTCTTCCCCCCCCCTTTTTCTCAGTGCGGACTTACTTTTTTCCGCTTGGGAAGCGCAAGTGTGCGCGAGTTTTTCTACGGCGCTTTTCTTTCGTCGGTGAGTTGGTTTTTCTTCTATTTTTAAGTCACTAAGGTGAATGGTGAGGAAACCTTCGTCTTAACTAAACATAAGTCCCAAACAAAATATAATGAAAGCAAAATAAAAGTAAAATAAAAATAAAGCTCAGACTTGGTTCCTTACACAGAGAGCTCTGAATGCTTACAATATGTACACTGTTTAATATGTTTCCATTAAAATTTGTATCAATTTTCATTACATTTCTTGCTGTACATTGCAAGTAATCTATAGTTTACACACACACACACACAAATGTGCAAAATAATAATGGAGAAAACTATAGATTACTTGCAACGTACAGTGAGAAATGTAATGAAAATTGATACAAATTTTAATGGAAACTTATTAAACAGTGTACATTTGCACAATAAGATCAGAAAAAATAAAATATTAAAATGATGTTGTGTGTCCCTAGTTACCACGAGATGAGAGTATGTTGGGAATCATGCTCTCATATTTAAACTGTGCCATGACTCATATGTGTAAAGAACATGCCCAATCTTCTGAGCTCCATTGTCAATGTTGGTGGCTCCATCTTATACACATCCATTTGGATGAAAACATTTGGAGGACATATCACAAGTCTCCTTATAAAGATACTTCTGTCATGTTACAGTCTATAAACTGCATTTTTAGGCTGCAACAAATTTATTACTGTCTTTGATGTTAACTATTTTATGGTCAAGTCCTCATATAAATCCAAAGTAACTCTTCAATTCTTATATAAGAATTATGTATATATGTAGTAGCATGTTTTTAAGTAAGTACCATTTCAAAATAGAGCTGCTGCAGTGTTGTGGTTGGTGTTCCGCAAATGTGTGCTGAGTATCTACATCTGTTGGCTAGCCACAGATGCCATTATGGAAGCATTCGTTTGTTTTATGTTTATTTGTGTGTTTAAAATGTCTCAGACAATTGAAAATCCCACCAATTGTGAATATGCACAATGATTTTTTTTTTAATGCAAAAGACATGAAAGTGGCTGACATTCATTGGCAGATTAGTGAGGTGTATAAAAAAACATTATTAGAGATGGAATAGTAAGAAAATGGGTTAGAGCATTTAAAGATGGCCATACTAATGTCCATGATGAGGAGCATAGTAGATGACTATCTGTCATTACTGAGACTTGGTGCAGAAAGTTGATGCAAAAGTTTGAGAAAACAGACGTGTTACAATTTCATCATCCAAAACAAGGCATGGGAAGCTCAGTAAGGGGATTGTTTTGTTTCATGACAATGTCTGTCCACACGTGGCTCAATGAACCCGAGACCTTATCACATCATATGGCTGGGAACATAGACATATAGACATAGACATATATTTTATTTGAACACATTGTTTACAATGTATCAGGGTGCCACAACAGGTGTAACCAGTATATCCTGAGTGATTGATACAAAGTACAGATACGGTTGTTTAATTAACATGTGAAAAATAGAGTAAAGAAAGTTAGATACTAGAATAGAAATTAATAGTTAGTAAGAAAATATGCAAAATACAAAAATACAAAAGGTTAGTTATATAGAAATAGTTACATAGAAATTGTTACAATAATAGAAAATAGTATCAAGGGAAATTAAACACAAATAATATAATATGTAAATTCACATGCAGATATTTAAGCATAGTCACAGAGTGAATCTCTGGTAACATAAAAATAACATTTACAGTAGAGTAGATATGAATACAGATGTAGGTACAAATACACAGGCACTAAATGAAGCGTATAGACAGATACAGACACCAAAAACAAGCAGGGACAACAATTACAGAGTCGAAGAATGTGGACAGAATGGGAACTAGTTGTAGACACTTACAGTGGTCCTTACAAAATAATTATTAATAAGTATAATGAATGCATCATATGGCTGGAACAGCTTGATCACCCTCCCTAGCCCTGATCTAGCACCTAGTGACTACTACTTGTTCCACTTGAAAAAGCATCTAGGCAGTCAGTGCTACAATGATGATGTCAAAACGCCATGATGAAGTGGTTGGCAAATCAGGGCAGGTTTCTATGAGGATGAAATTCAGAAGCTGGTTGTATGATATGAAAAGTGCCTTAATATTGGAGGAAATTATGTTGAAAAGTAGATTAATTAAGATACAGGCTTTTATGTAAGAATAAAATTATTTAAAAAATTGCACTTGTGTTTTTTTAATATCAAAATGGTATGTACTTAAAAAACAGTCTCATATGTTATGCTTAAAGGTTCTAAGTTCCAAGTGTGGCTTCAAAGAACATTCGACTTTTTGTTTCATGTTTCCTGATCTGAAAGCCATTTTTTGCTTGCATTCAGTGGGAGTATTGATCATATCACAACCTAATTATTGATAAATATTCAGAAGGGTTATAATTAGCTTCAACATCAATCTCTCAAGATAATAGAAGAGTTCTTGCCATATGCCATCTTTCCAGCTCTGTTAAAATAACTAACATTGAATGCAAAATATGTAAATTGGTTTTACTGTGATATATTAATGAAAAATTAATTATGCTAAATATAGATAAAATTAAATTTTTCAAATTGAGTTCATTTACTGAGATTTAAAAAGTAACAAATGAAATAAACTTTTACTTAAATTATAGGATCAAAAGATAGTGGTGACAATTTTTCCTGCTGGACATTGTCCCGGTTCAGCAATGTAAGTATCTTTTGTGTACATTTATATTTTAACTGTTAATTCAGATAATGTTAATAATATATTCTATAGATATGTTAATAATTATATTCTCTAGGTTTTTAATTGAAGGGTGCAATGGAAATGTATTATACACAGGAGATTTTCGTCTCACCATAAAGGATATAAGTAAATTTAAATTACTTCATTCTTCTATTCAAAAGTAAGCCAGTTTTATTTAGAATTTAATTTTAGATATATAGCATAATTACTTGTAAAATTATTTAAATCATGTTAATTACACAATTGTCATCATTTTTTTTAATTGATATTTTAAATATAATTATTTAAAAATTAATACTTTCTAAAAATTTTAATAAGACATTAAGGTAAATTCAACAGCTTCTTATAAAGGATACTGGAAATTATATAAAAATGATTAACTAAAACCTTTGATTATCCAGTAAAAACATTTAATTGAATTAACAAACGTTTTCGACCTTAAATATCAGTCTTCATCAGGTTTACAATTACTGAGATTCTAAGAACAGTTTCATGATACGATTTAAACATTTAGAAATTTTTGAATCTTTTGTACAAAACCGTCATGCGCATTTGCTGCCATGGATGCAGACATGATGTTGCCTAGATATCAGGCTACATACAAATGAAAATAAATGTGCATACTAAATGCAGTAATATAGCAGATGTGTATTATATATGTCATTCATTTTAAAATAGTTTAAAATCATTTTATTTTTTGCATTTAGTATGCACATTTATTTTCATTTGTACATAGCTTGATATCTATGGCAACATTACGTCTGCATCCATGGCAACAAACACACACGACTGTTTTGTACGAAAGATTTGAAAATTTCTAAATATTTAAATCGTATCACGAAACTATTCTTAGAATCTCAGTAATTGTAAACCTGATGAAGACTGAAATTTAAGGTAAAAAATGTTTGTTATCTCAATTAAATGTTTTTACTGCATAATCAAAGGTTTTAGTGAGTAATTTTTATAAGAAGTTAAGTCTTCCAGTTTTAATAGTGGTTAAACATTTTCTTATAAAAATTTTTATATTTTGTAGTTTCATAAATTTAAGATGTAAAAATAAAATGCTTTTAAATCTTTTTAATTTGAATACCAAAGGGAATTTAGAAAGTTCAAATTATTAGAAATTTGAGAATATTTGTTTTTAAAAAATTAAATTAGTCTTCTGCAAATTTCTTTCAAGTAATTTTCTTTGAAAATGTTTCACATTTTTCTTTGATATCACATTTTATTTATACATTATTTTCCATTCCTTTAGTAACTTCAACTCTTTAAGTTAACACATGGACTGCCAACAACAAACAACAAACTGTCTCATAGTTAGCAATTTAACAACTGCCGCCATCTACAAGATAACTTGTATAATATTGTCCAACAAGTTTTGCCTTTTATGACTTTACCCATAGCAAGTACTTGTTATAACTGATTAGCAGGCATCAGGGAAAGAATGACACATTGATTGGGCTTTATAGAACAAACTATAAAGAATTTTAAAATGCAATATGAGTTTTCTGTTTTGATTGCCAGATATATTTTCATAGTAAATATATGACAAATGTGGCTAATTTGTGCCTTGAATATGAGTGACAAATCAATTTTGTGTCATAAAATGTAAAGTTTTTTTCAATAAATATTGAAAAATATTAAAAAAATAAAAAATTATATTTATTACCCAAATTATCTCATAGTTGGCATCTGCAAAAGAAAAGTTACTTCACACATTCCCTATGAGATAATTCACATCAATTTTTTTTTAATAAATATTAAATGTATAAATCAGTTATACATTAAAATGTAATAAACCAATTATAGATTAAAATGAATATAAAAATTTAAAAAAAGCAAAGAAACGTCATGCAATGAAAATGGTACCCAGGAAAAGCTCATGGCAGTCAACGTAGATATGTCTGATTGTTTCATTGTGGATTTCATATATTTATTACATTGAAATCCAGAATCAGAATTAGAAAGAAAAATATGAAAGTAAATTCATAAAATTTGGTTTTCAACAAAATTAAATCTTCCAACAAATATCAAAGTGTAAGTGTCAAAAACTTCTGTGACTTGAGATGGATTTTATTAACTGAATTAACATAAAATTATATATGTATTCTTTTCTTATAAGTTATTAAAATAAAAGACTGTTGTTATGGATGTTGGCAAACTGAAGTTTAGTTTTAATGTAAAAAAAACAAAAGGCAAATGAGAGTGTAAACTGTGCATCATACCAACAAAAGGGAGGTGGAAACCCAAAATGAATATTGACAAACAATAAGCGCACTCAAATAACCTCGAAGAAGCAGCAAAAATTTAATAATTAAAATATTTTCAGTTGTTTTTAACAACCACTTTCCAGTAGAATAAAGTGGATGTGTCTAGAGTGATGTCTTATATTATCACTTCATTGTGAAAAAAAAACAAAACTAAAAGTCATGATTTCAACAAAAGGAAATAAAACTGTATTTGTAAACTGTACTGAATAAATAATAGACAGTTGATAGCCTAGGTCAGGCATGGCCAACATACGGCCCATGGGCTGGATCCGACCTGCCTAATGAATTTATGCTGCCTGCAATTAATCTTTCAATATTAGCTACTTAAGTCTGAATATCTCGACAAAAAATTCTGACACCTAAAAAATGGAGGGGGGAAAAAAGTTCAACAACTAACTGTGCGTTTAGAGTTAACACTCCATTACAAATGTCTTCAGCACAGCGTAGAATGTTGATAACGTATGATAATGTGAAAAATGTATCTGTAATCTCTATGTACAATTTAGTCTGTACAGAGTGACACCACAATGAGATCTCGCACCATCTCAAAATCTTGCTAGGGCAGCCTCTAGTTCGGCCCGTGAAAAAAGTTTTCTTTCCAATTCAGCCCAGGGGCAAAAACTGTTGGCCACCCCTGGCCTAGGTGGTTAAGACATTAGTGTACTGTTCTGTCTCACTCATCCAGATTCAATTCCAAGTGAGACACTTGGAATTGAATCTGGATGAGTGAGTATCTCCCCAGGAATTTTTCATGAGCAGTCCCAGTTATATTGGGTCCCATTGCTCTCCAGCTGTTTGCCCCCATTGTGGGTTTGGCTGAACTCATAATAGGGTATGATTAAAAAAACCCTCTTAGTGCTTATAGGTTGGAAGGAGCCAAAAATAAAAATAATAATAATAATAATAGAGTCAATTTTAAATGGATCATAATATTTTAAATGTTTCTTCTGTTATAAGTAATATGTGAAGTATAAAAATTCATTTTTTAATTACAAGTTTATTAACTAATTTTAATACGGAATTTTAAAATAAATTTGTTATTAATATCATTTATAAATTTATCATTTCAACTACATCCTAAAATGGTTATAATTTGCAGTACAGCATCCATTGAAATCATTATCTCATAGACAAGATACAACAACTATGTGTTTACTTCAATAATTATCAGAAACTGTAAAATTTTCAAATTATAGAGGGGAAAAATTCTATGTTATGAATATTTATTATATATAAATCTAAGACTGAATTTAAATAATTAAAATAAAATTGTTTACATTTGTTTCTTCATTTATTCATTAGAGTAAAGAATATAAGCAGTTTATATCTTGATTGTACATTTTGTGCACCCGAAGCCATGTATTTCCCTACAAGACAAGAAAGCTTGACTGCCCTAATTACATTGATTGAACCATGGTTAGTCGAAAAAGAGCATGTTGTGTATTTGTTTTGTCCTGCTCACTATGGATATGAATATATATTTGTGGAATTAGCAAAAAAATTTCATACAAAAGTAAGTTTTAATAATCTTTATATAAATTTATACTTAAAAAGATGATTTTATTTTCTACTTCTTCATCAATAGATTCATATAGATGATTCAAAGATGAGAAAATATGAACAAATAAGTGAAATTTTGAATGCGGTTACTTGTGATCCGAGAAAGTCGAGAATTCACGCTTGCACGGTTTTTAACAGAGATTCAAATGATTTTGTAAGATGTAAATATCATTTTAATAAATATCTGAAAGTAAGTAAAGATTTACTTTTAACAATATAAATGTTGTTATTTTTTTAGAAATAAAATATCAGTATATTTTATTTCAGAAAAATGTATTGAGTGTCAAACTTAGTGTAATGTGGTTTGCTCAACACGTGTGCATATCGAACATAATTGAAAAAGTGGGAAGTAATTGCTATCGTGTCTGTTATTCCCAGCATTCTTCATTATCAGAGATAAAAGATATTATCTCGTATTTGAGACCTGAATTTATTTCTCCTATTGCAATTCCTTCTGGATATTCAGAAAATGAGGTAAGTACTTTATTTAAATATACAACATTGATAGTTAACAGTAATATATAGAGTGTGCCAGAAACATGTTTGCCATTTGGACTGCCAAGAGAAAATTATAAAATGCAACAAGAGAGTTTTTGTTTACAACACAATAAAACAATTAACAACTTATTGACATTAGTAGTAATAGTAGTCAGTCAGTGTGGGCTACACTGAACATCTACCAGGACCTTAAAAATAGCACCTTCCTCTTAAATTTTGCACAAAGCTGATGTTAATTGATGTAAGCTGAGATAATTTACAGTGAGTTTCGTAAATTTCATATGTTTATTTTTGTGTTTTTGAATCAAATAATGAAATACACATAAAAAAAGCACTTTTGGAATTCCATGAGTATTTTACATGGTTAGAAAGAAGACAAAATAGAAGTTAAACATATAATTGTAGTTTTTGATGTAAAGCTGACAGTTTTAGAATAAAAACTCATTTGTTTTTACATGATGTAACTTGTTTTTTTTTTAATACACCCTTTAGAGAGGGATGTATAACCTCACTTAAACTGGTATGCCAGCTTTCCCCCATAATAAACTGGCATGCTGGTCATCTCACAAAAAATGTGGTATAACATAATAGGTTTTATGATAGCTCAGTTATTTTTGTAAATCTATATATATTTTCTAATTTTTCATATAAAAGTTAAAAANGAGAGTGATAAAAGTAGTCCTAAATGGATGTATATTATATCTTCTGATTCAGAATGATTGATTTAATTTTTAAATTAATGAATTTAAAACTAATTTTTATGCAATATATTTGTTATTTGTTATATATTTTTTAATCTGTAAAATTTTATTTGTATGCTCACAAAAAATGTGGTATAACATAATAGGTTTTATGATAGCTCAGTTATTTTTGTAAATCTATATATATTTTCTAATTTTTCATATAAAAGTTAAAAATTCACCAAAAACATATTTTGCCTTAATAAATTGCCAATTACTTGTAATGTCGGAATTAATGAAAGTTTTTTTGTTTTCAGTTGCTTAGATTATTGTCTTGTCTTCAGCATGGTAATAAAATGCAAGAAGAGAAGAATGAGAAAAATATATTTTTAGGATTGCTAAAGAAATCAAACTGTACTGAAGGTACTTTTCAAAACTTATTATTAAAAAATTATAAATGTTATGATTTTTTCTGTTTTGTATATGTACAAGTCAACCCCTCTATAACACTGCTGATTTTTCCGTTTTATATGAATTCCATGTTGTACGAGTCACTTAGATTTTACAAATACGTGTGCCGGGCTGTGAACGGCTCACATATTTTTTAAAATCTAAGTGACTAGTACAACATGGAATTCATATAAAATGGAATTATCAACTGTGTTATAGGGGGGTCAACTTGTATTAAACTTTGTTATTTCCTGAATTAATTATTTTATTTTTTCCTTTTTGAAAAGAATGACTAAAAGATTTGTAAAATATAGTTTTATGTCATTTTGACTACTTTCAAGTACTTTCAACAACATACGTTTAAAAATGTATATACAAATCTTTAAAAATATAAGAAGTTATTAAACACATATTTCATCTTGAGAAAATTCTGTATCAGATATACCAAGCATGTCATTAACAATCATAAGGCTACCATAATAATAATATAAATAAGGCTGTCCAGAAGAGCCAGTAATATTTAATAAGCTATTTTTGTAAAATCACTTAATAAGCTATTTTTGTAAATTAAATACAGTCATACTCCGACTTACGCGAACCCGGAGTTACGCGATTTTCAAATCTCGTCGATTCGTCTTTTGTTTGAGCGCCACGCAACTCTTGATTATTCACTCCCCCACACTATTGTTCAGCTTAATTTAATGTTCGGACGTGTCACGCGGAATCGACACATAACTACAATTTATTTTGTGTAATTTATTTCTGTTTGTTATATCTACAGAGACTTGAGAGTCTCTATGTGGTGATTTCTTGTAACCGTGAACGAACCAAAAGGCGAGATAAGATTAATGAGAACATTTATTAGCTTACATACATCCGACTTGGATTTTGCACAAAAGGCATCTGCAATCGTGAACAATTGACGAAAAAAGTATACATTTATCAGATAATAAACAAAGACTCATTTTGTAAACAATTTACCTTTTGTATATACAACCGACAAGATTACCTTTCAAATTATAAACAGACTCGATCCCAAGCGGTCTTTTGATCGTCGGACATACAAAAGAAATGAACAGATGGCGCCTAACTTAAGCGCGGTTTACAATAACGAATATGATTAATCTTAACACTCTACTATGTCATCCAAACAAAGAACCGATTCTTCTGCATCAAATAAGAAAAGAAAAACTTTATCTTTGGAATGTAAAGCTAACATTATTAAAGACTTCGATACAAAAATGAAAATTTGTGAATTGGCAAAGAAGTTTGATCTACCGGAATCGACGGTCAGAACAATTATAAAAGGTAAAGATAAAATTCTCGAAGCTGCAAAAAATGCTCAATCTTTAAATTCGAGCATCATTCATAAACGTCACGGTATTATTGCTGAGATGGAAACAATGTTAAAATTATGGTGTGATAATCAGGTAAATGTGAAAAATTGTATAATAATATAATTTGTTATACGTATGTATTATCTAAGATTTTATTAAACATTTTTTTTCTAAATTATTGTTTTCTTTAGTCTCCGGTCCCAATTAAAAATAATTTGTATGTATTTATATGCAAAATTATACCCCGACTTACGCAAATTTGACTTACGCGGTTATCGCTCGGTCCCACCTATCATGTAAGTCTGGGGTATGACTGTATAACTTTCTTTTGAAAAGCCTTAATTTTTATAATTCATTGAATAAAACATGCTATACAGTATTTAATTTACAGCTCTTCATGAAGATGGATATGTGAAAGAGACTGATGCTAGTAATGAATTTTTTTGGAATGATGATAATTTAAATAAAGAAAATAATTCCCTAAATAAAGAAATGAATGATAAACAGATTTCTACTTCACAACATAATGTAAGTAAAAAACCAAAAATTGATAATTCTGAAAATTATGATCCGGAGATGAATGACTCTAAATTATTGTACCTGACTTCATCTGATTCTGAAGAGGTTGAAGAAGAAGAAACGAGTAAATCTAATTGGTTGAAAATAGATACCTCTGATTCGGAGAGTGATAAAAGTAGTCCGCGGTTACTTGTGATCCGAGAAAGTCGAGAATTCACGCTTGCACGGTTTTTAACAGAGATTCAAATGATTTTGTAAGATGTAAATATCATTTTAANAAAGAAATGAATGATAAACAGATTTCTACTTCACAACATAATGTAAGTAAAAAACCAAAAATTGATAATTCTGAAAATTATGATCCGGAGATGAATGACTCTAAATTATTGTACCTGACTTCATCTGATTCTGAAGAGGTTGAAGAAGAAGAAACGAGTAAATCTAATTGGTTGAAAATAGATACCTCTGATTCGGAGAGTGATAAAAGTAGTCCTAAATGGATGTATATTATATCTTCTGATTCAGAATGATTGATTTAATTTTTAAATTAATGAATTTAAAACTAATTTTTATGCAATATATTTGTTATTTGTTATATATTTTTTAATCTGTAAAATTTTATTTGTATGTAATACACAATATGACATTTTATACAAGAAAATAAAAATGCAGGACCATATTTTTTAAAAATATTATACTAAAAGCTGTAATTCCAAAGAACATTGTAAAAGTCTGCATGATATTTAAATTGTTAATGAATAGTAGAAAAAAAAAACACAGATTTTTTAGCATTTGCAAATATTGTAATGTAAATACTGAAAATATTTTTCAAATATTTTGTGACTCAATCTAGTTTATGCTTTACATAGTTTAATTTTTGTGTTTATATATATATATACATACATACATACATACCTATATATATTAGGGTTTCTCAAATGGGATTCAGATTGTTTTTTTAACCTGAGAAATTCTTCTCATTCTGGGAAATCCCGCAAATTTCTTAAAAGTTCATTTTTTTCTTATTTTGTGTTAAGGTTGAGGAAATTTTGCAAATAGAAAGTATAATTAGCTCAAACTCTGTCAGAATACATGTGTATTTTTTAATTTTAAACCTACTTATTAGTTTTTTAAATTTTTGCTCTTTATGCCATGTCACAAATGGTCAATAATCAATACGTAGCTTATTTGTGGCAGGATTCTGAAAATTCTTTACTTCTCAGAACTATTATATCTGGAATAATTGTGCTTATGATGTCTTAATTTTTAACCATGCCCAGTAGCTTCGATAACTGCGTAACATCAGGTTGTGCAAATTGGGCAAGGATACAAATGAGTATGAAGTCTGAAAGTATGAAGTTTTTTTTCATAAACCTGATTATTAAAGCCAAACGAACTGCCAAATTATTGGGCTATAAGCTTGATGTTTCTGGTATTTTTGAAACCGTGCCAGTAATTTTTAGTAATTCAAACACTAATCAGTTATTGTATTTATTCAGACACTTGGCAAATCTCATCATTAAATTTTATTCAGTTGATAAAAGTCAATAAAATTTAATGATGAGATTTTCCCAAGTGTCTGAATAAATACAATAATTGATTTGTGTTCAAATTACCTTGATGTTTCTATTGAAGCAGCCAAGGTAGACAAATCAAGAATACTAGAGAACAAAAAAGTACTACAGTCTTGAAAATGAACTAGAAATATTCCAGGCTACAGGCAAAAAAAATAGATTATCTATCTTTTCTTAAATGCATTAAAGATGATTCCACTCACATCAATTGAATCGGAAAGGGCATTCTCGGTAGCAGGACTTTTCATTACTAAAATAAGAATCAGATTGAGTGATCGAAGTATTGACCATATTTGCTTTTTAAAATCTTATAAAAATTTACAATAATATTTTGTATTATGTTTTATTTAAAAAATGAAAATTACCTTTTAAGTTAGAAGTTTGATCTAAGTTTATTTTTTTTAATTTTCAACTCAATTCAAAGCATTTTTGTTGTTGTATGCAATTTCCAGAAAACTTTAATAATTTTTTTTCTATTTGTGAAAATTTCTACATAATTCAAATGTAATTTTTAATATATATCTTATACAGCATTATTAATATGATTTTGGAGGTTGTAGAACATATTAAATTACTTAAAAAATGAAAAATAACTATAATTTGATTTCAAGATATTTTGTATATCTTATTAATTCTATCCCAGGATTCTGGAAACAGTTCACTTTTTTCCCAAAATCTGGAACAAGCAAAAGACAGGGAAATGAGAAACCCTAATAAATATATATATATATAATTTGGAACCATTCTGGTTCCACGTGCATTTATACAACTTTATAATTGGCATTGTTACTTTATTTCTGATAGCATTGAAATTAGTCCCATCTCTTCCAACATGATGCAACTAGCTAGTCTCCTCATCTCACATTTAGTGTAGTTTCTGACTTTGAAAATGATTAGAAAATTGGCATAAAATCACAGATTTTGTGCCAATTTACACTAATCATTTTCACAATAATCAACTGACTTGTGAGAGAAACTGTCATCATCCTATTTATCTAGTGCTCTTCTAACATTTGCACGTACATGTGCATTAGTCAAAACAATTAGGAGAACCTGTGACTTTAGCAAAAAATGTGCAAGTCAATGTAATAAATAGAAACATGACAACAATTCAGAGTGTATGCATATTTTTTCATATATTACTGTATATTTTATTGTATCTTACATAACAATAACATCCAATATTCAGAATCATTTTACCATAAAGGATTTTCTATGCAACATTTCTTACTCCTCTAATTGCTTCAACCAGTTGTGTATGCCTCATAATATTAATTGTGTTTAATCATTACTTGCTTCCAATACAGCTGTTTAAATTGCTGGCATTTATTACATCAGTTATACACTGGACGTTATTAATTGAGCCAGCTGGATTGCAGTGGCAGTTAAGGCAGTCGGCCTACTTCTCCGGAGCACCCGAGATCAAATCCAAGTGGTGAAAAGTAGGAATTTTTTGAGGGGGGATCTGTCACAGATAAGTTGGACTCGCTCCCTCACTAAGGAAATCCAGTAGTGGGCCTTACCTAGACCACAATGGGCAAGGAAAAAGGTCTTAGTGTTCATGGAGCAGAAACAGTCCAGAAAAAAATAAATGTTATTTAAACAATGTTTTATTTTGGAATAAGTTTTAATTTTAATTCAAAATCTGAAGATGGCCTATATTAATAGGTTGAAAACCTTTCAGCAAACCTTAGTAACCTTAGGTGTTGTAATGAAATTGTAATTATTTATACTAATAAGTCCAAAAATGATTATATTAATCATATTCTAGTTTGAAAAAATATATATCTTCAAATTTTCTTCCACTAAAAATTTATAAATATGATTACTTTCTTAATATTTTTAAACATTTGTTTGTTTTACTTTATATATTTTATTGTTTTACTGTTTTTAAAATGAATTCAAGAATTATTGTTATGTATAGATAAAGTTATGTTTTTATTGAGTGTAATAAATACAAAAAATATAAGAAGTTATTTTTTACTATGGTCCAAATGTTATGTTGGCTAAAACATATTTCAAAATGAATTTAGTTTCTTTTTATTCAAATTCAAATAACCTTTATTCATACTAGGCCTTAGCTTGTTACAAAGGGAGTTATTATTATTCATACTTAACGTTAATCAAACAATTAGGTGAAATTCTCACCTGATCATAACAAATTTTTTAACATAATTATATAAATTATATATAGTCCCTATCTTGGCTACATGAAAAATTCTACATTGCCTTTTCCGAAGTGCAATCATTTACACTATGAAGATCAAATTTTTGTCTTAGGAATATAGCCTTTTCACAGCCACAAATCAAATGAAATTTTGAAAAATTATCATTGCATCTCGGACATATATTATTAGAATGAACATAAAACTTATTATTAACCATTATAACATCATTATTAAGACAAAGTTGAATAAAATACCTCTTAACATTAAATGAAAGGTTAGACAATATATAATTATTAATAATAGTCCAATATCATAGTGTACCAACTTGGTGAATTACGTGTCCAGATATCTTCTATGTCAAGGTTCAATGAACTTTTCAATACATTTCGAATTAATTGATTGCCCAATTTTTCACTTATCTCTGGTGAATATATAAACAGCTCCCATGGAAAAACCAAAACTATTAAACACTCTAGTCAGTTGACCAACCCAATTCCTATTCGAATCTTTTAGCAATGATTTATGGTACAGTTGGCTCAAAAGACTGAACGAAAGCTGTCCACTGTCCCTCAACTTCATAAGGAATTTTACACATATCTTTACAAACATTGTAGTAAGCCTGAATCTACTGAACTCCAGCCTTAGAGCACTACTTGGGACCTTAAACTCCAATAAGAATATTCTTCACTTAAATTTATTCTGAATTACTTCCAGTTTCTGATCTATATATATAAAAATGAATGTATGTCTGTCTGTGTGTCTGTGTGTCCTATGTCCTTCATGCATTACCACACCGTTTATCCGATTGCCATGAAACTTTGGGAAGTTGTTTAATATACTCCGGCGAAGGTTTGTGGCATAGTACGATTGCCATGAAACTTCGGGAAGTTTTTTAATACACTCCCGCGAAGTACATTTATCCTACGATAGATGGCGCGCGTTTACACGAGCATTCGCGCATAGTGTGTTTGATCGATTTCAAATTGTGAAGACCATTTCCCCCCTTCAAAAATATATATGTCTCTATATATGCATTTGTGAACTGTTATTTACGATATTTGTAATCATTTTTGTTTAATCACTTTATTTCGACTTTTTTTGCTAATTATGTTTTCGCTCGAACTTCGTTAAAATCTTAACTGTACCCCGAACAACGACCGAAGTTGTAGGAAGAAATTCGCCTATTTTACCGATCTAGGTATCGCCCTTTTTCAAATTTTAATATCGACTCGAAATAATTTAAAAAGACAAATTACAATAAAACGGTTTATTATCTAACTATCAGAAATTTCCCAACATGCCAAGGAAGAGAGGAAGGAGCAATTAAATAATTAAAATTATAAAGGATTTAAAAATATATATATAAATGGGGAATATCGCGCTTTTGACAATCGCTGCAAGTGTGTGGGCTAAATTTGGAGAATCCGTGCTTCTCGCATGGACAACTGTATGTGGCCAGCTCACGCGTCGGAAAACCTTCCGAATTATTCGTGTACGCACCAGACGAAAAAACAAAAAATATCGTGTATCCACGAGCACTCCAATAAATAAATAGAATTGAAACGACACTTTGAAATGTTTTCCCGATGAAAACGAATAATAATAATATATTTCAATAAAAATGATAAAATGAAAATTTAATTTTATTATAACGAGTTTGCTTGAATTTCATCTCTTCTGAGATCGCAGCAATGCGCGACAGGTAAGCTAGTATTTAGATAAATATCAAATTGGAGATGCATAAGTCACTGCGTTAACAATAATTGAGTTAAACAATTTGAACTGAACTTGAGTTTAAGTTAAGTTTAGTTTTTGAAAATAACTTTGCTCCACTATTAATTAGCTTATTTGCCTTAACCATCGACGCCTTAACTTGTCTATCAAAGGATAGAGCAGGAGTTAAAATTACCCCTAGAAACTTAACTTCACTTACCATCTTTAACTCTACTTTATTAATATAAAAAGACATATTCTTCCTAGGAAGTCTGGCCCCATTTCTAAACACTATTATAAATGATTTATTTGGATTGATTTTTAATTTTAACTTCTTAAAATATGACATTATTGACTGAATTTTCCTCTGTAGAGCAGCTGCAGTGGGAGTAATTATTACGATGTCATCTGCATAGATGATTGAATGAACAATATTATTATTAATCGTAAACCCATTGTCGTCTCTATCAAAACAGTTATTTATATCAAAAGTGTAGAAATTGAAAAGATGAGGAGACCACGGGTCTTCCTGCAATAACCCACGGTCTATCTTAAAAGGTGTCTACTGCTTACTATCCTGTTTAATAATCGCTTCATAGTGACCAAATAATGAACCAATTATTTCCACCATTGAAGTCTCAGCCAGATAATATTGCATTTTATTTTGCAAGTCTGTAATATTAACTGCATCATATGCCTTCTAAACATCCAGAAACAATGCAAAAACCTTCTGTCTCTTCCTGTAAAGCTGAATTTGGATAATGACCAATAAAGCAAAAAGAGCCAGTTTCTTTTTATAACTTGAACGACTTCTTGGCCATTTAATCTTTATCATTGCTAAAGTTTTTTATACTCACTTATGTTTTATCACAGACAATTGATTTAAGAGTTTAACACTGTTAATTACAAAAAAAAAATCTCAAAATTCTCTTACTAGTTTAAAATTTTAACAATTTCTTTAGAAACTGACTTATTTTCTTCACCTTTAGTCTCTTAAAGATCATTGGATCAAGTTAGTTATACCAGACTTTTCTCACCCAACATCTAGTCAACTGCCATTACAGGTATTATTAGACCAATTTTTTGATGTTAATCAGTCCTGGTTGCCATAAGTCTTCTCTTCTGCCTAGAACCATATGTGGGTCTCTGTAAGACTTTTTAGGGAAACTTTGTTCTTTAGGAAATAACTTAAGTAAATTATAAAAATGACACTCCTCATTATTTTTGTTTGTCAGCCATGCAATTAGATTACCACATTGCCATCGTCATTATAAACTGTACAGATAAAGAAATATTTATGAAGACACAAATTTGAAATATGACTTTTTAATTAATAATGCTATTAATTATGCTATATGTGTACAAATTTTTCTGGTAATTAGATGCTATTTTGCAGCAATTTTTATAAGAAGAATTGTAAATTATTGTAATAATCAAATATTTGACTTTGTTATAGATTTATGTACAAAAATCTTGTTAAACTTTTTATCAGTTCCTTAGAGCAGTACTTCCTAATCTCTGTTTACTCTCTAGAGCAGCAGTTTTAAACCAGGGATCTAGGGGCTTGGAAGGGTAAAAATCAACTTATTTTAATTTTGTGTTACTGTGTGAAATTGTTAATTATTGTGTTATGATGTAGTAATATATGAGCTTTCTTATGTTTTTTTATTTTAATAAAAGCATTTCTACCTAATCAGTTTCTTTTGTAATTTTATTTTATGCATTAAAAATATTATCAAAGGGTCTGTGACATTCATCTGACTGGTAAAGGGGTTCGAGGAACAAAAAAAGTTAAGAAACCCAGCACTAGAGCAAGCAAAAGAAGTTTTCAATGGTTGCTAAATGTAAATTTAAATTGGAAATTTTTCAAATTTAAACTAAATTTGAATATAAACATTCAAAATTTTCTATATTTTGTTATTGCAATATATTGAGTTAATTGGAATGTACTGCTAATGACAATTCCTGTGGATAAGCTACAGCATTGTGGAGACTTGTCATTATAGTACAGAAGAGTCCTATACAATTTTGGGATACATTTTGCATTATCAGATGATTTTATACAAGATTAGGCCAAGAAGTTGAAGAAGAAAACATATACTTCTGGACAACAAAAGTAGTAAATTTTGTACGAGTACTATTTACAACTTTTTCGTCACTGTATTTAATTATATAAATTATATAACAAAAAGTATTATTTATAATCTTAAAATAAATAAATAATACTTTTTAAGATCACTCGATGATGATATTTAAATGTCTTCAATTTATGTTTAGAGACATAAAAATTTCTTTTTGTGAATGGGGGATGAGGTTGGGAATTGCTGCTTTAGAGAATTGCATTATTTATTTTATGCAGTTGAGTAAAATTAACAAGATACTCATTTTGCCATTTTTAATAAAAAAGGATAAATTAATTAATTATCTAGAATTTAGGAATATATTTTCAATCTAATATATAAGTGTAAATTCTTTTTGCCTCTATGTCCTTACTGTTATCAATTTCTGTTTGTATCTTTGTCTACTTTGGTCCTTGTTTATTAATAGGACTTATTACACTGGTGTAGTTTCGGTTAGCAAATAGAGGCAATCTTAGTCAAAAAGTCAAAACAAAATATCTTTATTTTTACCTGTACACTCTGTTTTTGCATTTTTGACCTGAAGGTCCCTATTCAGCATGTTTACAATAATAATAGGTTTTTTTTATTGTCTATTATTAATACACCAATATAGACAAAGTATCCAGGGAAGGGTTCTTAACATAACATAACCAAAGTTTAAAAAAGAACATTATCTAGCTTGGTTATTTTATCTCGATTGGTGGACTTGCTTCTTTTTTCTAGATAGAATATAAACAAGGATACAAACAGAAATGTATAGATAAGTATAATTCATATTATTGTAAATGAATTTTTATTGTATATATAAATAACCTGTTTATAATAAACCAGTTGAAATTTATTTTATAATGCAATATTGTAATATTTTTAAAGAACTTTGGCATTGTCAGTAATTTGATAATTTATTCTATTATATGTAATTTTATAATAAAATTACATTGTAAATATACATTCCATTATTTGTAATTATCATATCATGCAGTATTTTATTATAATAATAAATGAACAAATACAAATTTTGTTGTGTACTGATGTATTTTTTTCCTTCCTTCTTCAATGAACACATCTCAGGAACACATGCAATAATAAGCAAAAGTTATTATGACATTAAAAGTTGCAGCCTGGCATTGTTACTATTTAAAATATATGCTCTTGATTTTAGCAGTGTCTTGCCCTGTACATCATACTTTTCCTGATAACAAAAAAGTTATACCAGTTATCTATCTAATTCCATTCTGGAGAAAAGTTTTGAATTGAAATCACATGACTTCAGGTCCACACCAGAATTTTGCATATAGTTAATCGGGGCATTCTGCTCCCTATCTGGTATTGACTTTCATTTTGAGATTAAGGAAGGCTAGACAGATACCAATAGGAATTTATTGGGCTGCAATTTGAAAATTGCAGCCCAATAATCTAGGTTCTCATCTGCTCACCTTAAGCTGAGTCCTTATATATCTGATTACAAAAGTATTGATGATATGAATTTTTTTCTGCTTCACAGATACTAAGAGATACTTTATTATGTTGAAAACATATATATGTTCAATTATAATATCTATTATTTTTTCAGATTTATTATGTTTTGCATTTAAATTTCTGTGTTTGGAGCTTGTGCAGAAAAGACTCCGTAATATTGAGTACAGTTCCATCAATAATATGTAAAACAGCAAAACTAACTGCTAATAAAGTATGTATTGAAGTTTAGATCCTAGACATTTAAAAACAGATTGAATAATTTTTTATTGTAATATATGATACAAATTGTTACCTATTAAAATAAACCCGTTACAAGTTTCTCAGCATGTTAAAATATCTTTATATCGGTGCAATATGAAGCATCAAAATGAGCCAAAACATTAATTGATTAGAGGTAAGTTCTGGAAACAGTGATATAAAAGAGTATATTTAAAACACAGAATTCTCATACAGTAAGCCTTTTCATTGTATAGTTTATTTCTTTGTGTATACAATAACAATTTGGTTATATTAAAGGACAATTGCACCATAGGTTGCAGGTTGACACACTGATATTCTTTATTCTGCTTGTGTCAATCTACGATCTGTGGTGCAATAGTCTTTTAAATATAGCTACATAATTATTGTATATATGAAGAAATAGAATTCTCAGCTTGCTCTTGTTTTTCTTTGAATGTAAGCCTGAAGCAGTCCCTAAACAGAGTCAAAAACATTTGTTTAGAGCAAGGGTGGTGAACACATGGCACGTAACTTATTATGATTTGCCTATCTTTTTCTATCAACTTTTTTACATTTATTCTAATTAAAGCACATTCATTTCATTACTTTTAATATCATTATTCAAAGTCTGGAACTTTGACATGCATAAACATTTATAAAGATAAGTATGCTTACTACATGGCATGCAGACTCAAAAAGGTTCACCATCCTGGTTTAGAGTATAATTTGATATACAGTACAAGGAATGTTATACAGCTGGAAAAGGTTAACTATAATACATTTTGTTAATAATTCCAGCAGTTAATAAATTGATAATAGTACTACTATTATCATAAATATGTGACAAAGATTTGAGAATTTTAATCTAATTATACAGGAAAAGTTTTAAGTGATGATTATATTACATTGAAATTTAAATAATGGTAAATAAAAATTATAAAAAATAGTGAAAATTGTACTTAAATAAAATTATTTTAAAATAATTTTATCAAAAATGAATACACTTTTATTTCCTCTCTTTCCATGCTTCTAAGTGAAGTTTAGGTATATTCTTGCAAGATATCACAGGACTACTGTTAAAATATAAAGGACTTATAATTAATGATTTAACATAATTTACTTGTATGTAATAAAAATATAAACATTTTTATTTGGAAGTTATGTGAATTTCTATGTCAAACATCTTTACAAACAAGTTTGATGTTAATTCTGAGTAAACAATATGGGGCTGTCCATAAATGTTGTTACACTAGAAGAGAGGGGGAAGGGTTAAACTTCAATGGACATTATTTTATTACATTAAATTTTACACAGTTTATACATTTTATTATTCATAAAGTGATAAAGATTTTGAGGAGGATTGAGTTTTGTTTGGCATCTGAAGAGGGGAGGAATTACAGAAACTTGGACAAACTGGGACAATGGGGGAAGAGGGAGTAAAAATTTCAAGAAAAATGTGAACATAATTTATGGACAGCTCGTATAAACAGTTTAATGAAGAACTATATTAAAGCAAACAGCTAACTTTGAGATATTTATATTACAGGATGAGACAAAAGCCACCATACATAAGAACTTCACTTCATTATGTATTCAGTTGTAAATCTGAAAATATTTTGTTTATACTTACTCTTTCTATCTGTCTAGCAGGATAGTGGTATTCAAATAGAAAAATTACTTAATACAAAGTTACCAGCAAGCAGAATATATGTTTTTATTGTTTTTGAATGTGTCATGATTAAATATTTGGTCCATTTTTCAGGAAAACTGTTTGGTCAATTACCATTTCATATTTAGCTCTGAATGGGAAATTAAAGTTAATATTAGAAAAAAATTTGGTTGTCTTGAATTATATTCTCATGCAGGCAGAAGACGACAACAATTTTCTGTTGAAAAACAAGGTTTTTGTCCATGTGAGTAATAAAATTGTGCCATTCCATACCATCCAAAGTATCACAATGGCAAACTAAAATAACCAAACTCTTAATTAATAATATGGTTTTCATTTTTAATGTTTTTTGTTATTTTTTTCCCAAGCAATACCAGTCATATCCAATAATACTATAAATAACAGATATAAAATAAAAATATACTTACCCTGTAATCATCATGTTAATCGGCACCCTAGTTACATTTGTACAAAGACATATAACAGTTGAAAGAGTGGTGTTCATAATTGCATCCAATTGTTCTGTTGGAAAATTTCTAAATTAATGAAAAATATAAATAAAATCAAAAATTGTATACTTCAAAAAACTTAAATTTTTAAAGAATTACTTGAATCTAATTATCTTGTTTCTATTTTTTACTTGTAATATAATCACTTACCTGTCAGTAAAACTCTTTCTAGAAACATTGATAGTGTTACCTAATTTAGATTATTTTTTTATAATTGATATGTTGTATATGTAACAATAATAATAATCATATATAAACATCTTTTAATATTCTTTAAAGCTAGTACAAAACCAAAAAAGCATTTGAAATGATCACCACGGAACATACAAATCTCAAAAAATGCTTGTCTTTATTTAAATATTAAATAGTTTGTTCCATAGCATTTACAGTCACATTGTATTACATGTGTTTGATTGATATAAGCATGTCAATCAAGCACATGTAATACAATGTGACTGTGATCAATTAATTTGAAGAATTAGATGAATATTGTACATTAAACTTATGAATCTACCATACACTACTAATTCAGAATTGCTTACTGCTAGGTTGCAAATTACATCTCTAGAAAATATGTTGATTTATTTTGATGGATTAATTTATTGTTACTAAAGTGGCACATATTTTCTTATATGTCACATAGGACTTTTTCTATCTAAGAAACTTTATAGGGATCATTTAGCAGCAGTTTTAATGATTGAAATCTAGGAATTGTAATTGAAAATGACATAGAGGATCCTTCATCATAGAAAAAGTGGAAAATAAATGATACATTTTCAATTAAGATTATTAGAGTAGTGGAGAATGGCATTTAGTACCATTCTCTACTACTGAAATACAGTAAGACCCCGCTTAACGCTGATTCAATTTAACGCGGTCTGCTTGATGCCTAAAAAAACGCTCAAAATTTATGCTGATTCAAATTAATGCAGTATTTCATTGATTCGTATATAATACAATTATTCCCAAACATGAACCAATCAGCAAAAGGTGGCAATTCGTTGTAGTGCTGTACTTCCCTTAAATTGATGTTTGTTTTGTACAATTTTGGAAAAAATATAACATCATGGATGCCGTAGGAAATAGTGACTTGGCTTGGCAAGAATTAACTTATAAATGCATGAACGGAGTGTGGCAGAAGTTATGGCTGAAGGTATCCAAGAATTCTCATCAAGAAGAGCCTATAGCTGTATCGTTAGATTGACAAAATTGTCAACTTAATCGATACATGAGATGTAGATGAGCAGGATATTGGGGAGATACTGCAGGTTTCTGGTAAGAGCCTTACCAATGATGACTCCAAGAACTGGCAGAACAAGGAATTCATGTAGAATTGGAAAACAGAGTTTCTGAAAGTGAAGAACCCAAAAAATATCTCTACAGATTTCCTTAGTAAAAGTTTGGTAACGATATCTGAAATTGTTGATCAATTTGTAGCAAAGGATCTAGATTTTGAAAGGAGTGCAAAAGCAAAATGAGTCATTTTGGATGCGATCTTCTGCTACCCGACATTTGCTTAAAAAAGAGAAAAAAGCGATAAATGAAACTTCATGACTTTATTGAAAAAAAACAAGAACTTCAGAAAAGTCAGGACCTTAATCACAAAAAATGAATTAATAATATAGAAAAAATGAACTAATTAATATATTATTATACATTTTTGTATGCATATGTTTGTGTGTTATTTAACATATATTATTATACAAATTAATATAAAAATAACTTAAAATTAAAGTAAAATTTCTTTTTTATTTTCGGTCACGTAATCCCCTATCCCTATTTACTCTATGTTAAAATGGTCTCATTTAACGCTGTTTCGCTTAGCGCTTTGTCATCTAATGCGAGGAACACATCCCTCGCATTAAGTGGGGTCTTACTGTATTGTTATTAAATGGGCTGATGATGAATCATATAAATAAGAAATATAAGAATTTTTGTTGTAATTATTCAATCATTCTTCAATTCATATAATGCCTTTTTGGCTATCTTTATTCAAATGATCATTTTTTCGTTGTTTATTATTACAATATTTGTATTTTTGTGTTATTTTATTATTAATGTTCATTTATGACAACCTCATCCCAACAGGGGAACCCCCAGTTCGGCGGCATAACGGGCCAAAGTAGTATTAACAATTTCCTTTGCTACATCATATTTGTGGTTGTGTAACCTGGCTTGGAGAGATCTGTATGTGAATCCAATATATGTCAGTCTCCTGTTAAACCGTCCATCTTGTAATGGATGATTTAACAGTTCCCAATTCTCAAAGACTCTATTGTGATGATTCATCCCAATAGAGTCTTTGACTGTCATCAATGTCAGTTTAAACTTATATTTTGTGACATGTTTCCTCATGTATACACAAGTTTTCAGTTTTGATATCCTTTCATTTATGGAGTATCCAAAATTCTCTGTAAATGCAATTATGTTTCAGAGTTTCGAATTAGAGAATATTTTTAAATGATAAATTCAGTAGATAGACATGAATCTGATGTAATATGGCTTTCTTGAATTCCAGAATTAACAATATATGATAATTCACTTAAGGGTATTATGAAAGCAAAAATTTTTCAGCTCTCCATAAAAATGTTGAAAATCTAAAACTAATCATCAGACCAACATGGAAGAAAATATCCAAAAGAATGCTGGAAAAATTAATGTATAAAGAGTAGAGAGGAGCATGCATAATGACTTTATAACCAATCTAGATTATTTCTGGACTTATAATCCACAATAAGAAAATTTTTCACTATAGCTAAATCATTACAAATCATAGCATTATCTTCCGAAACAAAATATATCCAATATATCTAAAATACAAAGATATCCATAGATGTTTAATATAATTGATAAGGTTATTATTTCAGGTTATTGACAATTAAAAGATTTGACCTCTAGGTGCATATATTGCTAGGCTTGATTTTGATTAGTGACAAAATAATAGTTGACACAGCAGGTTGATATTGATCAATTGAAACATTAAACATCTGTATGCTCACGTTATATTATAAGAATGATAGCCACAAAAGCACATGTGCAGTAGTCTGTCATCCCATTGTTCATTTGCTCAAAAGACTGACTAGAATACAATATTTTGACTCTAGTGTCTAGGCAGTTGCATAGTGATACGATCAGATATTATCAATATCTAAATATTGAAAACTTGTCAATTATGTTGAATGTCTAAGGATGCCTTAACTGTTGTATCCAATATTGACAGATATACTAAATTGTTATTACTTGGAAAAAGTTAAGAAAGAGAAATTAAACATTTTATCAAGTTAAAAATAAAGATTCTAATATTTTTTGCATTGTGTATATTCTTATATGCATAATACAAAAATTTAAGCTCTAACGGAATTAATTATTACCATATTATTTTGTTACTGATATTCAGTAGCATAATTAGAACTGATATTAGAGGGGGATCTGAATTAGAAAGTGGAAACATACAATCCTGTTCCACTGTGGAGCAGTCACTTGCACTGTAGATGAAGTTTTAACTTATACACATATATATAAAAGTGTTTGTTATATTCAAATATTTTTCCTGTATTTATTTGGTTTTTTTTTTCATTTATTTATTTACAAAGTGGGCCTGGTTACCTGCAAACACTACTGTTCATATTGGATTTTTTTTATAGATTATTAATTTACATGATATACACCTTTTTCAAAAGATCCTGTTTGACCTTCAGCAGTATAAAAATATCTGTCTTTTGCTCTCAAATTTTGAAACTGCATCATGTTAAAATGTACTGCAGTTGGCCCTATCACACCACCAGATATTGGCTTTTCACACATTAATCCTACAAAAAGGTCTACGTCTTCAAGAGATCTAAAATTAAATTTAAATAATTATTCATTTTAATTGTATTGAAATTTTCATTATATATAAAAAGTTGTTTACTAACCTATATATTTTTGAAATTTTATTAATGCAGCTTTTATAAAATAAGCCTGTTTTAAGTAATTCTTTGAAATTTAGAGCAGATTTATTAGGATTTGCTTTAATAAAATATCTTTTGTAAGGTGGTATTCCATGATCTCTTCCTCTTTGTATATTTATAGAAGCAAGATCTATTGTTGGGGATTCTTCATTTATTGTATAAAGAAACTTTGTAACGGATTTACTCATACATCGATCAAACGATATTTGATTCTGTGATGTAGCTCCTCTAATTACATTATCCAAGTTATTTCTCAGATATGGAAAATTAAAATATAATTTTTTTAAAGGAATCATTTTCGTTCTTCCTTTTCTTGAAACCGTTTTTATGTAATCTGGTACGGTAGGATGTCCTATCCGAAACATTGCGGCGGCCCACTCGTTCCATGTTCCCAAGCGGGCATTTCTATTATAAAAAGATTTCTTGTCACAAAGATGATTCTTCTTTGAAATTTCAGATCCAAAGAGAACTGGGAGATATTCACAATAAACAATGTGTTGAAAAATAGCAATGACAAGTCTCCTAAAGAATAATATATGTTATTAATAAGTATATTAATTATCAAAATCTATGGTTATATTCTAAAAAACACCAAATAAATGGATTCTATAGAAGTGTTTCACTGACAAAAGATTTCCAAACAGAGTTTTGATGGCTTTATTTTTCTTTTAATAAGATAACAGCAAAAGTAATGTGGATGTATAACCTAAAAAGTTTTAAGTTTTTAGGTTATACATCTATGTTTAGGTGTCATGCTCCTGAGAATGAGTGTAAAATGCAAAAACTCTCAAATTATTGAAGATTTTCACTCCAGAAAAAAGCAATTTAGTTTGAATTATACATTTTAAATGTTCTATTAACAACTATTAAATTTTTTCTTAAAATCCACATTTAAATTTGGTTAATTTCTTGAAATTAATTTCTGAAATAAATTATTTTATTTTATTTATATTTATAATTCAAATTCCATCTGAAATTTTAGTAATGGTGATGGAACTGTATATATTACATAATTTCATTTTATGTTTCTTCCTCTAATTGAAGAGTTTAATTCCAAAGTGACATATCGCCATTTTTTTATTTAGTTTTTGTTCATAGCACCAACACATTGATAATATGCTTCTCTATAGTACTACAATGTTTTTTTTTCTGAAACAGGTGTTTTTTCTGTTAAAATGTATCAAAAAATTGGTTTTCCTTTTCAAATGTGACGTTTTTTGTTTTGTATTTATTTCCAAACTGTTGCATTTCCATAACAGCCAATTACAAAGTGTACATTGGTCACATTACTATTTCACAGTAATGACTGCTTTCTGAAGTACAGTGCTATTGTGTTTAATTGCTTTCTTAATTTTTCTTTGATAATGGCCACATTTTCTGAAGAAGTTCAAAAAATATTTAGTCGATATGCTAGAAAGAGGTTGCATCCTTATTTTGTAGAAATTTTCGTAAGGAAAATCCAAAAATCAAGAAAATTAATTTGTTTTGTGATGGATGCAGTGCACAAAACAAAAATTAAACATTATTAGTAATGCTAAATAAACTTTCAGATATGTTTAGTGCAATTTTTGAGATTACATATCCGATGCAGGGTCACAATTATCCACTCGTAGATATAGGGCCTTTGGAAGGGTGGAAAAAATGTTAAGAGAAACTTAACTACTTTTACCAGAAGACTACAATAAAATTTTTGAGCATATAGGACAAATACATGTTCTTGGTAATTGGAAACTTGCAATTTTGCAATTCATTCACATATTAAGTGAAAAATTATTTTAAAATATCTGAAATGAAAGTAATCAGAATAAACTCTAAATATGTTTGTTGCAAACACCACTATACTGATAGATTGGGGGATATGCAAACATAGAATGTTAAAAAGAGGTAAAAATTGCTCTTATCTATTTGTTGATTTGTTATCATTGGAGAATAAACTTAAGAAGGAAAAGATAGATGATGTGAAGAAACTTTTAAATAAATTGGGAATAAATGATGGGCATACTGCAATGACATTTTATAAAAGTGTTTTCTTGTTTAGAAAGTTATTGATTCTAAATAGGTACTATGACAGAACAATTATAATATGAGGTTTTTTAATTTTATGTAATCATTAAGTTTTTGTTTTTCTTTTGTGATTAGTATAGTTTTTTAAACACCGTTTTTATTTATCATCTCTTTTGCTTTTATATATTAAAAGGTTTTGGCAATGTATTGTTTTTATTACATTATCCATTTAAATGCTGCAATTTTGTTCCAAAGTGGTGTAAGTCCATGATTTGAAGTATCAAAACTATCATTTCCTTTGGCTCAGGATTTTTTTCACTGTTAAACTATATTCTGAATATAAAAATAAAGCTCTGTACAATAATTAAGTTTTTACCTTAACATTTAAAGCAATTATTTAAAATTTTCAGTTTTTGGAAATTTGTATTTCCTAGTGATACATCACTTTAGAAATAAGCTCTTCAATTATACTCCCCTTTGCATGCTGACATTCCTTCTGTCATTTTATCCAATGAAGGGACGACAGTGGCAACCGAAAAATTCTTTTCTGAAGGTATAGACCTGCAGAATAGACATTGTTTGGCTGGTATTAGAGATTTGTCATGCTTTGGCTCTAACTTCAATATTCTGGATGAAAACTTCTGTATTCCAAAATTTCTTTCAAGGACCATATAGGTGATAATTGCACAGTGACCTATTCAGACTGTAGGTTGGGTGATCCAGAATTTCCTAACCAATTCCGTTGATTACTGTGCACGGTGCTGTGTTCTAACACCGGGAATTATACAAGTTTAGCATCATTTTTTATATTGATAAAAGGTATTTCAGAATAATTTTAGCTTAAATAAGTTGTTATTTTACATTCTTAAACATTTTTCTAATAATATAAATCAAATATAGTTGAAACTTATGAAGATTTAGTATATTAAAATAACTTTTAAAAATACCTTGATTCTTGAAAAATTGTCTCACCATTCCAACGTGAATTAATGAATCTTAATCTATTAGCTATTATATTATGTAATCTCAAAAATATTGTATGAAAACTTAATAACAGTGGATTTTCATTACTTCTTATATCACCTGAAAATAAATTAAGACACAATTAATTGAAAATGTAAAAAAATTTAGTATTTACTGGTATTTATTTATTTAATACAGTATTTTCTAAAATCATGATTTGCAATCAGCTTAATTGCATATAAAAGAAAATAATTAACATATATTGAGTTTGGTTTGGTTTGTATAATTCAGGTTATTGTATAATTAATTAGCCATGTTATAGCTGTATAATCAAATATAGCTGGATTCTTATCTTAAATTAACTTCCTACAAGTTAAATTTATAGTTGATTGAATGAAATTGACAGGGGCGTGCGGTGACATTTGATAATAGGGAAGCTGTGTTTCTGTAAGAAGCCGACATCCAGGGGCAATCAGTCAATTGCGCGTCAGTGACGGTCTAGGGTCTATTCGTATCATTTATTCGATAAGCCGGTAAAAAGCGTTGACTTTTCTAAATGCATTTTTAATATCACAATTACATTCCGAATCGCTAGCCACGATATAAGGGCTAAAATTATAAATAAAATAATAAAAACTTACTCGGTGAAATAAAATATGTAGTGGATGTACTGGTACATACCCGGTACAAAATATTCTTCAATTGTGCGAATATACTTTTAAAGAAAGTTATAATTAAATATAGCTTTGCAAAGAAACGTACATAAAAATAACAAAATATTCTTTACTTTTTATATCTTAAAACAATGCACTTAGTCAAATAGCTCCCTACGAGTGGCTAATGGATAGAATCGAAGACGGTTGCATACACGAGCATACACGCGGACTGCCAAATCCCCAGGGTGCCGATACCGGTCAATGTCAAATACCTCTTTTGTCGCATCACTAGTGTATCTCATAGGACGCGACGAGGCTGTTGTAGATTTTAAACGTTTTTCACCATAGCTGTAAAAATCTAAATATGTTAAACTTAATAGTCATTTGTTTTCTAACTAATTCGTTTTAGGACCAGGTGTCGTCCACGGAAATTTCCAAAATTTACAACTTTTCGGTCACTCTCGTCGAACTGGAAAAATTTCTGTCTTCATTACATCTAATACAGTATTTCGAAGAAATCAGTCCCCGCTGTACTCGGCTAGAGATTGGTTCGGTTAAGCTTTTGTTTAAGTAATATTCCGGCTCTTTCGTCAGGGTTTTGTTTACGTCCCCAATTCCCTGATCGCTTAATTATTTAACTACTTCTTAAGTAGAAATAAGTCGAAACCGGTTAATTTGTACTCGAATATCTGTAGTCTCGGGAAAAAGTGGAAAGACAAATTTTTACGACAAACGGATACATAAATCGTAAATTTAAGGAAAATAAATTCTAGAGCTTTTTCTGTACCTGGTGCATCTCCCTCATTCATTAAATTTAGTTGTAAATGGTGCTGTCAAAGTAACAATTAATTTTTTAACATTATACAAGAATTGTACACGTTTTTTTCTACATCCACTTAAAGATGGGACGTACGAAATCGTAATATCGCTGGTTTAACATCGAAATCCGTGAGTAATATAAAAACGGAGAGCGGAATAAATATATAAAATATTTTAACGGATTTTTTAACTCCCCATCAACTATACAGAACTATCATAAAAACGTACCAGTAAATTCTTATCGATTGGGTTAAGTTATAAATCTACTCGTTATTCACGTAATCGGCCAAATATCTAGTGGGCGGGCGGCTAACGGCCCGGAACCGGTCCCAGATAGAATTGGAAGCGTTGGAATGTGTAGCATCAATCCAAGGTCGTAGGCTTCCACCGGCTGAACCGGGTGAGGTTGGTGCTCTGTAAAGCGCGTGCGCGAATCTGGCTTTTTGGAATCTGACAATACAGAGATTCCAATCTGCCATTAATATTCGAGTATACAATAGCAATCTTATTTTTTTTTTCACGTATAGTATAGAAATTTGTAATAAGATACATAATGCGGTTATAATAAAATATTGCGCGATTATTTTCGTAAAATTAAAATTAATATGTATTTATTTTTTATAAAATTCAAGGGAAGCGGCGCTTCCACCGCTTCTAATGACGGCACGTCACTGGAAATTGATATTAAAGATTTAGAAAATAATCTCAATTACAATAAAATTTCTAAAAATTACCAGTTAATGGACATATTATTCCTTTCTTTGGTACACTGCATTGATCTGTTTTTTGATTCTTGCTAGGTGGTGGAAAAACACCTCTCCGATATGATTTAACTAACATCTTACCTGAAATTTATATATTGCTTTTTAATTTCATGAAATCTTCAATGAATGAAAGTCTTATTCAAATTTTGGGTGATTATTTAATGTGTTGTTTTGTGTTATAAACAGCGTGATTCAGTTGACTTGTCAGGGCCATATCTGAATTTACTTAAGATAAAATCAATTGTTAAATATGTTATTGAAATGTAGAGGAGGGTACCAAAAATTTTTGATCTTCTAAAAGAGTGCAAGAGAGGATAAGTTTAGGACTTTTTGAATTCCTTATATGTATTTTTGTTTGGTTTTATTTTTAGTGCTTAAATACAGGACTGAATTTATGGATTGACATTCTGGGTCCATGGTCCTCCACAAAAAAGAAAGTAATAAAAATGAAGATAAGAAAAGAATGATTCAGGAAACCAAATAGAGCAGACTATAAATATAGTATAAATTTAAAGTAGATGTTTTAGTAGAATCCACAACTGTGAGTGCCTGGGACCTTCACATAAATCATTCCCGTACTTGTACAGGTGACTTGAATTATCCTTTGTAGTTAAATCTAAGCTGCTAATTATTTTTTGGGCTATTTAAAGGCTAATTTATTTAATAATATATCTGAACTTGGCTTAAATGTAGACAATTATGCCACAATCTTAACACTGGTCGAATGTGGCTTTGTTAAATTAACAAATTTGATTGTTTTCTGCTTATTCCAATGCACTGATTCCAAATCTGAACTCAGAATTTTTCTGTCTGGTTCCATTTATTTATAACAGATTGATCCCTTTATCTGTAATTATGCCAGAAATCACTCTGATTAATCACAATCATTATTTAAGTAATACAGTAAGACTTCAAGGTATCATACGAAAGCATATTTATGATGAATTAAAAGTGATTGTAAAGCTTAGCTATAGTTCCAATAATTTAACTAAGTTCTGCTGCTTCCTGTGCTGTGGTATAATAGGAACTATAAACACAATATCTAAACAACAATGACCAAAAAGAAAAGCCTTCACTGTGGAGAGATGAATATAGTAAATGAGCCATTTTTTCCCCCTTGGAGAAAAGCTGCCTTCCACTTTTACATATAAAATTTGGCAGTTTGTAAAAGCCATGGATTGTAATGGTAATCATTTCTAGTACATTAAAGAAATATAATGTATTTGCTATGTAACACCAAATAAACACATTAAAAAATTAACAAATTTCTTTAATAAAATAATAGTTGAGAAAATTTACCATTAGTTCTTCTCAAACTTGCTAATTGCTTCTTCTTTATTCCATAAATATGTGAACAGTCTAAAGTAGGAGTATTCAAGTTCACTTGTTCTCTAACTAAATTATTAGTTATTAGTTAATATTATTATATNTATTTATGATGAATTAAAAGTGATTGTAAAGCTTAGCTATAGTTCCAATAATTTAACTAAGTTCTGCTGCTTCCTGTGCTGTGGTATAATAGGAACTATAAACACAATATCTAAACAACAATGACCAAAAAGAAAAGCCTTCACTGTGGAGAGATGAATATAGTAAATGAGCCATTTTTTCCCCCTTGGAGAAAAGCTGCCTTCCACTTTTACATATAAAATTTGGCAGTTTGTAAAAGCCATGGATTGTAATGGTAATCATTTCTAGTACATTAAAGAAATATAATGTATTTGCTATGTAACACCAAATAAACACATTAAAAAATTAACAAATTTCTTTAATAAAATAATAGTTGAGAAAATTTACCATTAGTTCTTCTCAAACTTGCTAATTGCTTCTTCTTTATTCCATAAATATGTGAACAGTCTAAAGTAGGAGTATTCAAGTTCACTTGTTCTCTAACTAAATTATTAGTTATTAGTTAATATTATTATATTTATACATTTATGTCAAAAATTATCTTAAGTCTTCTGCTCTCTTTACCAAAGGAACAAGAATTGCATGGTTGACTTCGCACAAAATTCAAACAACTGGATGAAAAATCAGGATCCTTAGATTGGATTCGTATGGGAAAGCATTCAGGATGTTTCTTACTTCCATTAGGGCAACATTGAAGAGGTTTACCCTCTATTAAATTATATAGTTAATGAAGTATATCAATTTTCATAGTACAAATATAATAATAATAATAATAATAAAATAATTCTAAACCATTACTCAAACTAGTTTGAGCAGAAAGGCTCATGTCGTGTGCTATAAACTGTCCAAACGCCTGGAAAATATTACTTATATTAGAAGAACGTCTACATCTGTTTCGAGTCAAAGCAATACTTATTTGTCTAGGCTCTGGAAGTGAATCACCATTAAAACTTCTGTTTCTCAATTTTTTAACACCTAAATTAAAAATAAATTGGGTATTTTTAAAACATTAATCTACTGTATTAATTAATTTCATTAATAACTTTACCATCATCATAAGAAGGTGGAATGAATCTTAAATGACAAGAAGAAGCACTTCCTTCGTACGGATCAATAAGATTATTACACTTTCCATCTATTCTTCTATATTTTCTATCTGTGCATTTAATAGTTTTCTTACTACATGAAACCTGTTTTAGTTTCTTTATTGTAGTATTATTTGTAACAGAAGCAACATTTATTCTGCAAATAAATTTTAAAAATAATTATATATGATTATGTTAAGACATCATCCTTACTGCCCTGAGGAACTCAGGATTGAATCTGGGTGGACAACACCAAGAATTTTTTTTGGGGTGATCTACCCTGAATATGTCGGGCTCTGTCTCTCACTACCTGGCTGTCCCAATTGTGGACCTAGCCAAACTCACAATTGATATGGGAAAAAATCTTCATACTGCCCAAATGGAAGATTCAAAAATAAAAAAGAATCCTTATACTGACATTTTTGTTTGATTTTGATATTGTTTATTTCAACATGAACTATTTCATTGAAAAACAATTTTCATTTTTTTAAATAAATTGTTATTAGAAAGAAAAATGATATAAGATACCTGTTCAAAGTTAAGAGAGTAGAAGCAGTTTCAAAAAAGGAATTAAATATAGGACATCTTTGAATGGCGCAACTTGTAACTTGTTGTCTTCCGTCAGCTGATCGAATTGAAAAATTAATATATTTTTCTGTAAAATAAAAATAACAAATACTACAAATGTTTAACTATTAATTTCATTATCTGTATATAACTATGTAAATATAAATACATATACACTTTTAACAGCTTTTCTTTTATGGTGTTGTAGTTTCACTACTGTAGAGTGTCTATTCCAAATTTTACTAAGATTTTTAATAAATTCTCTGATGAAGATATTCGTTTAGAAATTGAACAGCAGCAAAGGCATTTGGAAACTGCCAAAATTAATGTTTAAGAGAAAAAAATGGACAACATTTAATTTTCTTGAATTTATTGTGAATGGGGATTTTGCAGATCTCTGCCAAACTTGTCCCTATATTTTTTTGTTTGTGTGTGTGTATATTGCTTCATGTGAAAGCAGATTGAAAAATCTTTGACACAAAGAAATAGAATCTTCAAACTGATATTGATGATAAAATTTCTTATGCATACTCAACTATGAACCAAACAATATTTGACAAATACTTTCAATTGAATGCAGGTATGCGAGACATATGAATTTTAATGAAGTCGGTGATCATTTTGCATCAATTAAGATTTAAAAACGAAGACTTTGAATATTCTCTACTTACCTTTGAAGAATAATGATTAATTTGATGACATTGGAGAACACTAGGCATGTCAAAAGTCACTACCAAAATTTTATTAAGTAAATTTATTTGTGTTGTTTATTAATTTATATATCTAAATATATAAAATTGCTTGTCCTGACTGACTGAATGACTCAGTGATTCATCATCGCCCAGAGCAAACCGCTTAACCTAAAGAGGTGAAATTTGGTAGGCAGTTAAAGTACGTCATGGAAACGCACACTAAGAAGGGATTTTTCTAAATTCTCCCGCGGGGGGAGAGGGAGAGGATTAAGGCTTAACCGGAAGAACAGCTTCTACTGTACTATTTTAAATGCGATTTTTCGTTTTCAACTACGTTTAATTTTCATTGAGTATTTAGATGTATTAAATTGATAACATTTCAGACATTGTTATAAATATTTTTTATCTATTTCGATTTCAAAAATGTTCGAACCGTTTTAAATTCGAATTGGTTATTGCATATTGGTTCGATTATAAAACCATTGTAAACGTTCCAGAAAATTGATCAAATTGAAAATAGTTCGTTTGATTTTCGGCAATTCTCTTCAGCGGTAGGTGTTATATAACAATTACTATGGTTATTGAAATATTGGATGTAAATGGGGTTTGCTTGCAAAACCTCCGCTGACGAAGTCGCGGGTAACAGCTAGT